ATCGTTAATTATGAAGCTAACTATACGAAATATATCTGATTTGAATAGTTTTATCTGAATTATATTTCATTATATTCGGTAAGATGTTAAATTAATCGAATACTAACAGAAAATGTAAATCGAATTGTAAATTATATAATTATTTGAACTTACACCGGGATTTAGATTTATACAATTCTTAGAATTGGAAGCTTTAACATGGGAGTCAAGAGATAAGGGGGAGATGCTTGAACTCGAGCTACACTGACATAGTGACTTAGGAACGAGGATTATGGCGCTACTTTTAAAGTATCTGCGACGAGAAGAAAATATTTCACTTCAAATAGTCCATATAACATTTTTTTAATCCACTTCATAAATTTATAATGTATAGAACCACCTTTAAACTTAACATTAGAATGAAAAATCTATTTTTCATCGGATTAGAGCATTTGGAAAACAAAACAAGAGCTAACGAAAAACTGAGGTTGTTTGACACCCCAGATTTTAAAGTATATTACCGTTGACAATTTAAAATCTGTCTGAGCTCCGAATTGGCACCTTTTAATTTTGTTTCTTAATGAGGATGTCGCGACGCCAATGTGTTGTCTTGTAATTTATCATCATTTTCCCAAGCTTTAAAGCTGTAAATTGTGTGTATAAATTATAAAAAGTAATTAGTGTCCGCTAAATATACGTTTTTTCAAAGTTTAAGTATTAATTTGTCATAGGAAGCAGCGGCAGAGAAAAGTTGTAAATTATAAAGTGCAAAGAATATTGAGAGTAAAAAAAAGTTTCGTTTCAATTGAGCTGACGGTGTAGAAAGTTGAAACAAGTTCAACGAAAAGTGGACAAAAAATATGGCAAAGAAGAAGAAGAAGAAGTTTGCGAATATTTTCTTATGTCCTAGATTATAAAGCAATGCGTCTCTATATTCGTTTTGGCAATAGCTTCTCAATTTCAAACTATACTCTTGTTTCCCTTTTTTTTCAAGGAGTGAGTGTTTCGATATGTACATTATTATTCTTTCATTGCATTGTTATTGTAATGCTTAAAGTCTGTTCTTGCCAAGTTTTCCCCTTGCTCCCTAGCTAAAGATTCACTTTAGTTTTCCAAGTAGGTCTTCACTTCTTTTACTGTCGAGGATTAACATTTTCACAGCTCCTGTAGTCCTGCATTGTTGTTTCCACGAATTACAACCACTTTTCATTCTTCTTCGTTTATAAAGGAAACTAAATTCTCTTCTTTTATTAAGATATTTTTCACTACATTCTCCATGGCTCGAGAAAGTTAAAAAAAAAATACAGAATAAAATTTAATACTACGATTTAATTTAAATTTAGTTGTAATTTAAAAAAGTTTTCTTGTATCTGAAAGTACTACTCTTGCACTTTAGAATAAATTTTGAAAATTAAAGAAATCCTTATTTGTCTTTGAGGAATTGACTATAAACAGCAAAATTTCGAATAGTTCTTGAATTTTGTATTTTTCGTTAGGAATTTAAAATCGGGATTAAAAAACTAAAAATGGCGGATCCAATATGGCAGACGATGTTCTGCAAAATGTATTGCATTCAGTGTCCCTAATGACAGGAACCAGAACAAGGTTCATGTAACGAAATGTAATCTTTTCTACCTCAAATTAGCCGTGTCATGTTTTCCATGTCCCGTGGTGACATGATTTTCCATCCAACCAGCGAATGGAGAGGTTGTCAAAATAATTTTGCCTAGATACTCCGAATAATGATAGTGATTAATCAGCATATCACTATTGAAATACTTATGATTATAATCATCCAAATGGTGGAACTACAGATAATCAATAATGTTTCATACAGCATTAGGTTATTGCAATTACCTAATTAATATGTTATTTCGAAATGACAATATCAACTATATTGCTTTCACAAAAATTTGGTATTCCTGTTTCTATTGCTTTTTCATTATTCTATTTTCAACTTTAAAAACAATCAAACGATACTGAATATTTGAAGACAGCTGATATTGTTATGTGAAGCACAAACAGCGCCACGATATGCTTTGCAATCAATCGATCGAACGTAGCGAGGTATGAATTGTTGATTCACTATTTGGAGAAAAGGTTATGTGACTTGGTTTTTGTCACAGGCAATTATTATTGAAAAGAATATCGCAGGGTTCTACTATAGATTATGAGTGATTCATTTTATTAATAACAATTCATCAAACGTTTCGACACCGTCGTTGGTGTCCTTTTCAATGATACATAATTATTAATTAATCTGTTAATTCTTCATTAAGTTTCCCTCAAACTAACACATTTGTATAACTGTATTTAGACAGTTTAGAAATAGTTTTGTTTTTCTAGAGAGAGCTTGTTAACCGAACCCAACAATTTCCGACGTATAAATTGCAACAAAGCTCTACAAGTTTCTAGGTTACATTTAGAGAGGAATAAGCAAGGATAAGTTTAAGCATTTCACAGACTCTGGATTTGAGTAAGTCGGAAATTTTAAGCAAACTTTGTAATAACGAGAAAAGTTTATAAACTGTCGTGTTATGAATATACATTTAAATAGTTATCATAAATTTCCAAACACAACCACGACGTGAAATATTTCGCTTGATGATTTCCAATCAGAATAAAAACCAACAGGGTTTTTGTGACAGTTGCTTATGTATGTGATCATAGTGCCGACGTTAACAAGACAAAGATATATCGATATTTCCGGTCTTTGTGGTTACATTACGCACCGCTGAAAACACATAATGCCAAATTGATTTCCGACTCATCGGCCGCGGCATGCTTCTCCTGTGCCTCATTCAGCTGCAGTACCTGGATGATTTTCAGGCCATCCCTTACCGTCCTGTTTACGTTCTTTTGAGCGTCACAAGACTTCATCCTAACGATCTCTAATTCCATTCTGTCGAGGGAATTCGCCTCCTCCTTTCTAAGCCGCAAGCATACCTCGCGAGTCTCACTTATAGCATCATCCTCCACTTCTGAGTGGATAGCGCTATGTGCAGTTTTCCTGCTATTGACACTCATCACACCCGCTTCCTCTCCTCCTTCTTTCTCTTCTTACTATGTTCTGTGTATCCGATTACTTCACAATCACTCGTGGCACTGCAGTACTAGGACTGGTTGTGAGATTTCCAACTTCCAGCCTGGCGGTCGATTCAGTAACTTTTCCACTTTCCACGCCCACTTTCTACTCTCAATTCCCATTATACTTCCACTTTCCATTCCAACTTTCTACTTTCCACTTTCACTTCCCGCGCTCACTTTTTGCTTTCCACTTACCACTTCCAATTTTAACTTCTACTTTCCACTATCACTTCCCACTCCCAATTTCCACTCTCACACTTCACTCACTCTTTTCACTTTCCATTCCTCACTTTCTACTCTCCTTTCCCACTCCCATTTTCCACTCTCACGTTCCACTCACGCTTTCCACTTTCTACTCTCACATCTCACTTTTTACTTCCCTCTTTCCACTCTCACACTCCACTCACACATCCCACTTTCTACATACACTTTCCACTTTTTACTTCCTACTTTTACCTCCCACTTCCACTCTTTAATTCCCACATACACTTCCAGTTTCCACTGTTTAATTCCCACTCTCACTTCCCACTTTCACTGCCCATTCTCACTTTCACTTCCCACTTTTTCTTACTACACTTACTTTCTATTCTCACTTCCCACCTTTCATTTTTCACACTTACTTTCCACTCCCTACAACCACTTTCGACCCTCACTCCCCACATTCCACTCTCACTTACAACTTCCAAATTCCACCTTCCACTCTCACTCTCACTTCCCACTTTTTACTTCCTATACATTCTTCGCACTCTCACTTTTCACTTTCCACCCTTACTTCCAATCTTCCACTTTCCACTCTTACTTGCTACTTTCCACTCTCACATCCCACCTTGGAAAGTAGGAGTGGGAAGTGAAAGTGAAAAGTTGGGAATAGAAATGGGAGTAGAGTGTGAGAGCGGAAAGTGGAAAGTGAAAGTTGGAGTGGAGTGTGAGATTGGAAAGTGAATAGTGAGAGTAGAATGTTGGAAGTCAAAGTGGGAAGTGGAAGGTGAGAGTGAGACGTGGGAAGTATAAAGTGGCTGTATAAAATGGAAGGTGGGAAGTGAGAGACGAAAGTGGAAAGAAGGTAGTGAGAGTGGAAAGTTGGTGTAAAAATGAAAGGTTAGAAGTAAGATGTGAAAGTGGGAAGTGAGAATGGAAAGTGGGAGTGGGAAGAATAAGTGGAATGTAAAGAGTAAAGTGAGAGTGGAAAATGGGAAATGAAAGGGAGAATGGAAAATTGTAAGTGAAAGTGGAAAATGGGAAGTGAGAGTGAAAAATTTGAGTGGGGAGTAAAAGTGAGAATGGAAAATGGAAAGTGAGAGTGGAAAGTGGAAGTAGGAAGTAAAAAGTGGAAAGTGAAAGTGGAGAGTAGGAATTGAGAATAGGAAGTGACAATGGATAGTAGGAGTGTGAACTGGAAGTTGGAAGTATAAGTGGAAAGTAAGAAGTGGTAAGTGAGAGTGGAAAGTAGAAAGGAAGAATGGAAAATGGGAAGTGACAGTGGAAAGTGGGAGTGGGAAATGATAGCGTGATGGGAGAGTGAAAATTGGAAGTTGTCCTTTAATAGAAAGCCTCGCCCAAACAGTGGAAAACCATCGTCTGATGTTGTTATTATTATTTCTATTATTACTATTATTATTACTATTACTATATTATTATTGTCATTATTATTATTGGTAATATTATTACTGTTATTATTATTGACATTATTATTATATTATTATTATTATATATTTTAATTTCTGTTATTATTATTATTGACATTATTATTATATTATTTGAATTATTATTATTATTGATATTGTTATTATTTTTATGAGTTGTAATTTTCTGACATACCACAAGATGGACATACATTATTCCTGACGTGAGGTTTCTTAATTTTAAAAAAAAATTCGATTATATTTGTCATAAAGGGTATTTTAACAATAGAAAACGAATATTGTCCCTTCCAGATGGCTTTGCAACTTCCGGAAACATCTCGTAGGTGAAAAAGTTCTTTTAAGAGAAAAGTACAAAATGAGTACAGCCGTTGAGAACGGCGTGGGTGCCTCGAAGACTCGTGGCGTATTTTCTAGGGCGTTTGCCAAAAGGGCACAGCCCCTTGAAGAAGGTGAGTCATGTACTCTCGTGTTGTAAGGTGGTGGTGGTGGTGTCTAAAAGAACTAATTTTCTATTGTTGCTCTGGGTCTCTTTACTTTCACTGAAAAGAAAAAGTATGCTTTGAAAAAATCGTAGAATGATTGGTACAACTAGAGAAGTGGATATGTTAACCACATAAATGTAACATATCCGGTAAAAAATAGTTGTCCCAAAAATGTCTTCTTTTCCGCGTTTCTCTACTTCTTCTTCTATCCTTCTCTTTATTTCTTACATTCTTAATTTCACAGTAGATTCAAATTCAAAGTATCTTTAGTTATACTTGGTACTTGTGTGGGTCTTTTCAGGTGGGGCATGACAAGTAGAAGTATATTCTAACTCTCTTTAAATTGGTCACTCTGTTGGTTGAAGTTAACTACGTCTGTTAAAAATACCTTGTAATTCATAACTCAAGTAATGTCGGTTTTCTTATTGGAGTGGGGATCCTGACGGCTTTACTAGGTCAGTGGACAGCAGCACCATAGCAAGATTTTATGGCGCGAATTTTGAAATCGGTTTTTTTTGCATGATATTAAATAAACAAAATATAAAACTGGTAACGGTGGAATAAATATGATCATGGAAAGGATAAAATAATTCAAAAATTACTGTTTAAACAGATTTTTTAATACTACCAAGAAAAATGATATTTGACATTTTCCATGCTCCATGAAGTGCCTCTAAAGCCGAAATTAGCCTCAATTTTCATTTTCACATATAATATAAGTGTTTTATAGAAATTTTCAAGCATCAATTAAAATACTTGTTAGAAACAGAAATTAATAGAACTTTTTTTATTGTTTCAGCATTGTCAAGTTTAAATCGGTTGAACAAGGACAATAATGATGTACTTGACCTCGATGATGCCGTCACATCACACCCCACCCTGGCCTTAATGCGCCGCATCCTTACTGATGCGCAGGTGAGTTACGTTCAATTTTATACACTTTCTTTTAATAGGATCGTAATTTTTAACGCTGCTTCCATCAGCATAAAGAAGAAGTTAGAATATAAAAGTGCATCAAGTAAAGATGAAGCTCATCTAATATGCACTCACAAAAAATGTTTTTAAAATTTTCAAGGAAAAGTCCAATCTATTTCAGATTTTATTCCTCATGATTCTCTTGAAAATGTGGAATCATAAATATTGAGATTATATGGAAGAACACTTTTTCTTAGATTGAAAAAAATTTTTCTTTTTTAAATTTTTATAAAAATACCTGATATTTTGGTGTTTAATCTAAATATTTCAAAAAAATCAAACTAAATTTCAACAGCCTTACTGGAGTTTCAAATTGACTCACAAAACCAAACACTGCTTCTTCGATAAAGAGAAGAACTTCACCCTTATTTAAGAAGATTTGATTCTAAATATCGGATAGGCTCGCGCAGTTGCCTGATGCAAATTTTATTGAAAACGTGTGGGCGTACATGAATTATTAGCTTCGTAGAAGAAAAGTCTACGATTCAAAGCAGCTGCCACAAGCCATTATTCACTGTGAAGAAGAATGGACAAAGAAACGAAAACTGAGTGAATTTAGGCTATATAGACATTGAATCTGTTACAAAAATAATATGTTCATAAAATTTTTGAGAAAATTGGGCTGTACATAAATTTACATAATTCATTTCACTCTCAAATAATTTTTAGATTGCACGGAAACACATGTGGGGCACTAGGAGGCGAGCAAAATTCTTAAACAGTCCATTTTCAAATTCGCTGTTTTGAACTTAATAAAGTCAATCCGACAAAATCTGAGATAAGATTCGTAATCTGGGACCTCAAACACCCGTAGATACTAAAATATAACCTTTTTTTTAAACAAGTCATCCGCCATTTTGGATTCGCCATTTTGTATTTTGTAAATCAGACCTCAAAGTTTCAATTTGGAACCTCAAAAACCCTTAGATACCAAGATTTGTAATTATCTAACAGTTTGTAAATAACTAATTCGCCATTTTGGATCCGCCATTTTGAATTTTGAAAATCTGACATAAGATTCAAAAGAGGAGCATGATTATTCCCCAAATGTCATTTGACCGAACTGTTATTTTACCGAATTACATTTACCCGAACTGTTATTTTAACGAAATGTCACTTTTGCGAATCGCCATTTTTACGAATTTCCACTTTTGCAAAAAGTCATTTTTGCGAAATATCACTTTTACAAATTGCTATTTATGCGAATTGACATTTTTTTGAATTGTCATTTGTACGAATCGACATTTTTACGAATTGTCACTGTTGTGAATTGTCATTTCGTAAAAACGAAAATTCGAAAAAATGTTAGTTTGCATAAAGGACAATTCGCAAAAATGACTTTTCGCAAAAGTGACAATTCGTAAAAATGTCGATTCGCAAAAAAGACATTTCATAAAAATGACAATTCGAAATAATGACAATTCGAAAAAATGGCAGTTTGCATGAATGACAATTCTCAAAAATAACAATTCCAAAAAATAACTTTTCGTAAAACTGACAATTCGTAAAAATGGCGATTCGCAAAAATGTTTCAAAAAAATTTCGAAAAAATGACATTTCGGAACAATAACGATTCGTAAAAATGATATTTCGCAAAAATGACTTTTTCGCAGAAGTGGCAATTCGTAAAAATGACATTTCGGAACAATAACGATTCGTAAAAATGACAATTCGTAAAAATGACAATTCGCAAAAATGACTTTTCGGAAAAGTGACAATTCGTAAAAATGACAATTCGTAAAAATGATATTTCGCAAAAATGACTTTTCGCAAAATTGACAATTCGTAAAAATGGCGATTCGCAAAAATGACATTTCATAAAAATGACAATTCGAAATAATGACAATTCGAAAAAATGACAGTTCGCATGAATGACAATTTTCAAAAATAACAATTCGAAAAAATAACAGTTCGGATAAATGCAATTCGGTAAAATGACAGTTTGGTCAAATGACATTTTGGGGAATAATTATCATGCACCCCACCACATTAATTTCGTATCGACCCAAATGATAAAATTTCGATCATAAAACCAGACTTTTGGATTTATTCCGGTTTTGCAATGTTATACAGACCGAATTCATTTTCATTGAAAATACCTGACAGCAAATTGGACTGTTGTGTAGTAATTACGAATTATAGACTGAAACTTTATAACCAGAGGCACAATGTGTCTCGGCCTCGGAAGGTTTTTGACTCTTTTGTACAGTCTAATTTATCTGATGGAATCTTGTTGATCAGTAGAAAGAACGTCCTTGAAAGAAGAACACTTTTTGATGTATATATAGTAATACGACGAGTTACTCTTTAGATCCCTTTTCTACTCTTCTCTATTAAAGAGAATGTAACAAGTTTTCAAAAGTTCCAACTTTCCACAATTCACTGCCGCGCTGCCACTGCTATAGAAATCCTTTTAGTTTTAATTGTTACCGGAAATTCTATGCACTGGGTAAATTGACATTCGTTATTAAGTTGATTGGAAATCGGAGAATTGTATCGTGTCGCTATCTGACACATCATCACAAAACATAATTAGAAACATTCCTCCTGTCGCACATAACAGAAATAATCGATTAAATCTCTTGTGATTTTTAAACGATCATTTAATGAAACGTTGAAATTATTTTTGTTTTGTATTTAAAATGTTTTCCCACAATTATTTTCTATTTTGAAATGATTCCATGTGTACGAAAAGTTTATTATTTATTTGGTTCTTTTTGATAAAGAAATTGCAGCCCCTAGCAACTTTTCGATGCTTTTGGTAATTCGAGGAGAACTTTCTTCGTATAATCAAGACGTTTAAATGTTGTTTAATGTTTCTCGAAAAAGAAAAAAGTTTGACGAAGACGAAATTCTATTTTGCAGATGAAACTTCGCGTTATGGTTGAAGAGAACGCAGCGACGGGTGCCCGTCTTGACGGGGAACTGGAAAGGGCGAGGGGTGAATGTGCGACTTTAAGGGGTGAGTTGAGAGACGTACGGAGTTCCTTGGTGTTAAACAACAATAATTCGAATGGCGGTGGTAGCAGCAGTGCAAGTAGTAGCAGCAGCAGCACCAATAACAACTCAATTAATAACTCATCGTCATCTGCCTCCTCGAGTGGAAGCGGTTCCAACTTGAACCCAGGACAAGAAATTGTGGAGGGTCAATCCCAAGATGATACTAAAAGACTCAGTGCTGGAAGCAGTCCAGTTGATAAGAGAAGCTCCGCCAGCGATAAATCGGTTAGTCCCGTTGATAAAAGGACTAGTCCAATAGATAAGAAGGAGAGAACTAGCCCCATCGACCGGAGGTCAAGTCCGATAGGTAAGCTTTTATCTTCATCTTTAAATCCTCTTTGAGATTTTTGGCACAAGGTGTGCAAGCAAAATATTTACTTTCTGTTTACAAATTTTGTGTCTGTACATTTTGGTTCTATCATTAAACGCTATTTCCCTAGTTTGCAAAATTTAGATACACCCCCTAATTCTCATTTATATAATTTCATTAGGACCTAATTACAGTTCTAGCAGTACTTCTATTGTCTCTTGAAGTACAATCATTATTTACTAAAGTTCCTCTTAATTTAGTCATTGAACGTCTTGAACGGAGAATTGCATTACGAACAATTGTAATTCAAAAAACATTAGGAATTTTAAAAGAATTCTCTTTTGCAAATTTCCCTATTTGATATCAAAGACAAATCTCTAAAAGCAATATGTTAAAGATGCTTTTAGTAAACGAAATATTGGAATTTTCCTTTTAGAAAGAAGAAATGGATCACCATGTCAAAGTCCGAGTGAAAAAGTTCGAAGACCTTACGCCCCAGCTTTGGAAAAAGCGAGGTTGGGAGGGTCCAGTGGGAGTGTCGATTCAAGATCCGGTAGCGCAAGTCCGGATAGAGGATCGTCGAATACAAGGGGATCGTATCTCAATCGAGGAAGCACCGAGAGATCAAGCGTTGAGAGGCTAAGGATTTCTACAAATCGTGATCCGTTAAGATCAACAAAGGATTCGAATGATTTTGATAAAGAAAACAAGGATATTGTGGATGGAGATGTACGTCCCGATGAGGAGAACGAGCCTCCAGCTCCAGCTCCGGGCAGCAGACCAACGTCCCCAGCTAATTCTCTCGGTGAGCTCTCACAGTTGCTGAATTATAAACGTAAATCCCTTTCAACACTGTTCAGGGTTGTTTCTCTTTGCAGTCTAGACAAATCTACCCTTCCATTTCATAAACGTCGCATCTCGCATGTAGCTTCTGATTCACTTCTCTGCCGACGATGTAAACTTGCAGAGTTTTATATTTTATTCGAGGTCATTTGAAATTTAATTTTTCTCTAAGTTGGAAATATATTTTTTGATATAATTATAAATTCGTGACCTACATACATTCTAATAGAATTATATTCTACATATATTAGTAGATTTATATGGTTTAATAAATTTACTAATTTTAATTATAACTAATTAAATTATTTAAAAATAATTATAGTGAACTCTCAATTTCTGAAGACTGGAAACAAAAATACTTTTTTTATACTCAAGTGTGAATTGTTGGTCGACTCAAGTTTGTTAGCCAATAGTTCAACTAACTTGCGTATTGATCACACCGGTCAACCAATGGCTGAGCATTTAGACCAACCGTCATGTCAGTTCTAAAGTTGAGCCATCTATAAATGCCAAAGTTTTACCGACTGCGGGTGTGAATGTTGAATTTGTCGCCTGTATAAAGAAACATACCGCTTGTCCGCTTTAGACCAATCATGGAAAACATGACATTTCAGAAAAGTTTTGAGTATCATACCATTTCGCGTGAGGTTCGAAAAACATTCCACTTCAGGAAATGTGTTTAAACTCATTTTGTGCTGGGTGACCAGCACTAGAAACTTTTCAATAATGTTACGAATTTTAAACCATTTACTAACTTTACGTAGTTTTAACTAAAATTGAACAAATTATGAAATATGAAAAATATTTTCCGTTTAAAAAATAAATCTATTCAGTGAAACTGTATTTACCATGTAGATTTTTTAAATAATTATTTTAAGACTTTTAAACAATTCGGAATGTACAGTTTAGTTGATATTCACTTTTATCCAGCCAACACTATCAAGAAAGGTGTTTTTGATTCTTTAATTAAAATAGCCGCAAGTTGCTACATCCGCAGAATCATCTAGCCCAAGAGCGGAGTAGACGTCTTCGATTACAGATTTCTGAGAAGCCACTCATTAAGTATGCAATTGATCGCTAGAGGAAGCATATGTGTTACTCCAGGCTATGTGAACCAATTCCCCAGGTTGTCGCATAGACCCTTGTATCTCCGAGAAATCCATCATTAATTAAAATATTCCTCTCTAAAGGATATATTCTGGTCACTCGGGTTGAGAAGCTTCTCAAACAAAAAAAACCGAAAAAAATCATCTAGGAAATGATTGAGGTGCCCCTCGACTTCATTTTTCTATCATTTGAAAATGAATGGGCATAGGTGCGAATTCCTTCTGATTTTTATCTGTTGTATTTTGGGCATTTTAAGGCATTATCCCTAACATATTAGATGCTGTCTCTTTGTTCACAAATGTTGGCTCTGATCATGTTCGCAATTCACTTATCAGACGTTATACAACTATCACAATGTTTAAATATTTCTTTGGATCATCTACTTGTCTTGCCAATTTCTTTTTGACAATATTTACTTTAGATAATAAATATTATAAACAGATATATGATACACCTATTATGGGTTCATCTATCTCTGGTTTATTCTCTTTTTTATTTTCTGACATAGTCATGAATGACTTAGAAACCTCTTGCAATGATAGACTGACTGATTAAACCTCTATTATATTATAGATATGTAGATAATATAATTACGTGCATTCCAAAGAATAAAATCAATGAAATGGTTGATGTCTTCAATAGCTATGATGAGAGATTGCAGTTTACTTTTTAAACACAGAGTAATAATTCTGTTAATTTTTTGTATGCGCTTCTTATCAATGAGAATGGTAGACTTATTACTGATTGGTACAAAAAACCCACATTTCCTGTACGTACCATTAATTATTATTCTAAACATCCTTCTACTCAAAAAGTTGCAATAGTTTATAACTTTATTGATATAGAGCCATTAAACTCTCTTAAATAAAAAATTTCGTTCTGAAAATATTAATTTTGTCATAAAAAGTTTGGAATAGAATAATTATCCTTTTGAATCTATAAATGAATATGTAAAAAATCGCATTTGTTCTATAGAACAGAACTCTTCTAATATTATTGATTCTAAAAATGGTAATTTATATAGACTGTTTCCCAAAGTTTTTCTACCTTGTACCTGGCTTATATGAAAGGACATCAACTTTTCTTAAAAATTGCAATATGTTAACTATTCCTAAAAAGAATAACAAAATCAGCCATAATTTAATGATATCCCAGTGTGCACGTTCCGGAACAATTCTGGAACCGTTCTGTAACGGTTCTTTATTTCCATTAACTGTTACAGAACAGTTCCAGAACGTGCACACTGGGATGTGGGTGTTCGTATTAATGAACATAAAAATTCAAAAATAGGTGTTATTGATAACAATAAAATAAATCGAATAACAATTCACTTAACCATTCATTTGATTGGGATAATTTTTTAATAATTGACAGAAAATCTAATTACAGTGTTGCCACGCAACCTGGAAACCTGGAAAACCTGGAATTCCCTGGTGAAAACCAAGGAATTTTATAAACCTTAAAAAAAACCTGGAAAAGTCAGGGAATTTCGATCGGAATTCTGGAAAATTATTGTTTTCTAAAGTTATTGTGCTTATTCTTGAAATCTTATTTTACTTAAATATTTCAAAATTAATTCAATTTTAAAAGAGTTGCGATTATAATTTTCATAAATAGGTAAACTTCAAAAGGTTTTAGTTTTGAAATTTTAAAAAATTTAAATTTTGAATGAATTAATTAATACTAAAAATTTCACAGAAATTCTATTATTTACAAATTTTTTTTTATAAATTTCTTCGCAATAATTCAATTATTTTCATGAAGAATAATATTTTTTACCAGGAATTCAATTATTTTCATATATAGGTTTTCAATTATTTTCATAAATAATAAAAATCATCGCAGAATTCCATTTATTTTTAATACAATTTTAATGGAATTTCTCGAAAAATGTAATTATTCTTAAAAATTTTATTATAATTCATAAAAAAAATAATTCAATTATTTTAAAAAGCCTTCCTATAATTTATGTATTATTTTCAAAAATTTTTAATAAAATTCTTTTTAACAATTCAATTTTCTTTTCAAAATAATTTTAATAAAATTCTTCGTTGAATTAAATTAATTTCAATAATTTATCAAAATTCAATTATTTTTAATATCTACGTATTTCAAGAAAACACAAAAGAATTCAATTATTTAAAAAGCAATATGTCATTAAAATTCGTCTCAAGAATTCAATTATTTTCAAAAGTAATAAAGTTCTTCACAGAAATTCAATTACGGTCAAAAGTTTAAAAAAATTTTCGTCAAAATTTCAATTATCTTTATAAATAGAAAAATTATCCTTCAAAATTCAATTATTTTCAAAAAATTTAATAAAATTCTTGGCAAAAATTCAATTATTTTCAAAAAAATTTTCTCAATTCAATCAAAATTTTTTTTTACAGAGATGCAATTATTTTTAATGCAATTTTAATTTAATTTCTCGAAAATGGAAATTATTCTTAAAATTTTTATTAAAATTCGTCAAAAGAATTTTAATTATTTAAAAATTTGTTGATAAAATTTTTTAAGAGAGTTCAATTTTAAGAAACATTCAATTATGCAATTAATTATTTATTTGGATTTTATTTGTATTTAAATAATTGAATTCTCGTAGAATTTTCTAATAAAAATTGATTTAAATATGAATTTCAGTTAAAATTTTAGATAATAATTGAATATTAAACTCTAAATTTGAATTAGTAAAAATGCTTTCTAAGTTGAATTAGCGACTGACTTTTTGCTTTTGAATTAGCAGATTTTACCAATAAATAGTCGTTTCTACTAATTTAATAGTAAAATTTACTAATTCAAAAGCAAAAATTAAGTCACTAATTCCAAAATAGTAAACATTTTTACTAATTCAAATTTAAAGAGAAAGTATTATAGCGTGAATTTTTAGAAATAATTGAATTTTGAAAAGGTTTTAAATTATAATCTTTGAAAGTTTGAATTTTTCATACTTTCAACTGAAAATTGTGTAGATTTAATTTTTTTTTAAAGTTTAATGGAACTTTTTCGAAATTATTTCAAGTTTTTATTTTCTAATATATATATATATATATATATATATATATATATTTAATTGAAGAATTTCCGAATAATCGTTGAAATTTCGTAACATTGAATTGTTAACAAAAGAATTTGAAAATTTTCAAAGAAATTTTTGCAAAAATTATTAAAAATGAATGAATAATTAATTTAAAGAAGAATTTTAGTTAAAAATTCTAGAAAATAATTGAATTGAAATGAGAATAATTTTTATGAAGTTACAGTAAAAATATTCTTATAGAATATAAAATAATGATTTTATCAGTCGGTGATCTTTAATTATTATTATAAAACATGATGATATTGATTGCTCCGAGTCGAAGACTCGGAGTGATCGATATCTTCAAAAAAAATAAGTTAATAATAAATAAGTTAATTTCAAAAAGGTTTGAATTTGAATCTTTTAAAGAATTTTAATTCCTATGGAAAAATAATAATGATTTAATATTTATTCAAAAAAGAAGCAATCGAACATTTTTCTGAGTAATAATTTTTAAACTGATTGAGAATATTCTTTAGAGTCAAGAAGTAAGAATTTTGTCTGGAATTTAATTTTGTCAGGGAAAATGAAAATTAAATTTTTGTTGGCAACAAATGTAGTTTTAAAAACCTGAAAAAATGTCGTTTTTTAACGTGGAAAACCTGGAAGAGTCAGGGAATTTGAAATGAGCAAAAGCGTGGCAACCCTGTAATTATAAAAAACGACTAATTTTTGAGATGATTCATATCAATTTGCAAAATAATTAATAGTTTATTAATAGTTAATAGTGAATAAAAAAGATGATACACAAGATTCTTAATAATCGTTATACATTCGCTTTCTATATAAAAAGAAATTTCTTTCATTCTTAAGTTATCTTGACATTTTTCTCTTGTTTTCAATTTTTTGTTTGGGATGAGGATAAGTCAATGAGCCTACTAAATGTTGTGAGAGAATATTTATTTAAAATCCAACCAGGAAAGAAAAGAATTGACAATTGACAATGAGTATTTAGTAATCTTATTTAAAGAGGATAACGATTAGTACGGCTGTTGGAACTGTTATGATGGTTCTTATGATAAGATTAACTAGTTCCCAATTGAAGCACTCAATTAACCCTTCAAGCACACTAACTTCCCATTCGGCAAATTGATCCCTATTTTTCAGAAATAAAAATTCTTGAAGCTCACCCTGAAGTAATAATAATAATAATTCACTGACGTTATCATCCGGTTGATTTCAGGTCTAGTAGGTGATCCCGTAGTGGCGTCACGTTTATCGAACATCCACGGAGGCAACGGTCCTGTTGAATTAGCAAGTGCACGAAGGTTACGTCTCGAGAATGAAAGATTGGTGGCGGAAGTTGCACGATTGAGGCGATTGTTGTTGAGTGGAGCGTCTCGAGGCGAAGTTGGAGGCGAGGATGCTGCCTTGGAGGAAGAAGCGCGCTTTGTCGCCTTAGAAATGGAACTCCAACACGCGAGGGAAGCATTGCAGGCTTTGAAAGCCGATCGCAAAAGACTCAAAGCCGAGAAGTTTGATCTTCTTAATCAAATGAAAGCACTCTATGGAACTCTCGAGGACAAGGAACGAGAACTTCGCGACTTCATTCGAAATTACGAACAGGTGAGTTATTTTTTACTTTCTGCTTATTGGCATAGGTATTTTAATTTTCTTTTTGTAGCAGGAAAGTTTAACTTGAATGTAAAAACAATTAACTTTATAATTTATAATTTCATAATCATATTTAATAATAATAACTTTATAACTTTGTAAAGTAGTGTAGAACTAAAAACAATTTGAAACACGTTAGGAATACACGGAGAGAAATTTCTGTTAATTTTTGTAAGGAAATTATGGAAAAAATTACTGTGCTTCCGTATAAAATAGGTTCGTTTTGTTGGCAAAGTAGAATGTACCATTAACCAACACAGTTTATACCTAAAAAAACGAAAATATTTGCTGTCTCTTTAACTACAAAAATTACTGTGCTACCTCAGCAAAGAAAATACACGGAAAAATAATTTGACATAACCTATTTGTGTATGTGACATATTCTTTTCTTACAATTCATATAATGAATTAACATAAATTAAATAATGTTTGTTAATTAATTACTGTTAATATTTATTTGTTTTACATGTGACGCGATTTTTATATTCCATGTATATCATGATATTATCAAATCAATATTTTAGGTTAAGTTGAAATTCCATAGTAAACCATTGTGTGCATACAAGGCACACAAGTTTGATTTCAAAATTTCTAGGTTAAGTGAAATCATGGACAGTAAAAATTATTTCATTTCCAATATTTCTTTATATCACTAATTGAAACATAAAATCGAAAACGTCGCAAAAGGCAAAAATTTACCTTGCCAACAGGTGAGGAAAGTACGACAGTAGCAATCGTAGCAATATTAAATGGATGTTCGTGATACTTCGGGTATCATCGGCCTTCTTCAACTTGACTTCATGCAGGCAGCACAGTAAAAATTTGTGGGGAGCACAGTCTATTTTATTAACCTGCGCATGACTATTTCATGGTACGGTTAATATATTTTGCTTAGGACCAAATTAGAAAGTCCTGGTTCAGCAATTTTTACAGTGCTTTCAAAGAAATATTCCGAGGCCATTTTGGAAATAAAACTGTTTTCCATATGAAATAAAATTGTGCGCAAGTCAATATTTCTATTCTTCCGATACAAATAGTTCAGTAAAAACATTTTGCACACACTTTCAGGTGACAAGCACAGTAATTTTTATTGGAAATTTCTCTCCGTGTATAGAAAAATTGTCTGAGTAACAAGTTTTAATGATAATGTCTAATACCTTTTAGATGTAACATTAAAATAATTCTGAATTTCGAGTAGAAGATAAATTACGAGCGGGGTAAGAACGGGCGGATAGCAGAGGAAAATTATCAAAGAATCCTGGATATCATTTATTGGCCTAGGAGACTTGGGTGAAGTTCGTTTTGCTTATAGAAAATATTGTAAATTTTGATAATTTCACTAACACTCATTGTACACATCTCTTTTTTACTTGACTCGGATTTTCTCACCTATAATAAATTGAGTTTTTTTAGAAGTTCGTTTAATAATTTAAGAATTCGACCTCATAGTCATTGTACTTTTTAAAATTTTAAATATCTATACAGAACTGAAACTTTTAAAAAGCAGTTGACAATATCGTAGCTAGGAAGCATTCGTTGCCGCAGGGCTTGCAACCTATTACCTCGACCCTTGTGTTATTCATCACAAAGCTTTTAATGGCAAGCTACTGTACGTCGCACAAAGAGTCTTCTACAACTTTTTCAAAGTAAAATTAAATTAATTTTTTGATTTATAGAATCACTGACAATGAGTATAAAGCAAAATTTGTAAAATAATTTTCGTTAATCTGATTATTAAAGAAATTAATTAGTCTTATCCCTTTCGTAAAGGGTATAAAGCCTGTTTTTCGACAATAACTATTTATCTCATGAACAGAAGAATTTATAAATATATATTTTCAAGATTCACCAACGCTGAAAATGGCTCAACTTAATTTTATGACTGAACTTCAATTTACTTGAAAATATGCAGAGTTTCTAATGTTTCCAATATCAAATTAATCTGTAAAACTATCTGGTAAAGTTAATAAAAGATTCACGATTTTCATTAAGAATAAAGTCTAATCGATTGTTTTTATTCTTGCAAAGCTGATGTGATTGAGAATGTATGTGACTGAATTGAATTCAGAAAGATGTTTCAATTTCATTAACTTTAATTAACTGACAGGAATTTCTCATCTTCTTTGAATCCGTTTTACTGAATGTTTAAGGTTGGCTATTTCATTTTCATGAAGCACGTCACTCACTAATACTTACCTCCGACTAGATAAAGATGATTAAGACGTGAGAAAGCATTTACCCGGAGAGTACAAAGAGGTTTTCATTGCTTATTTCGAACGGCTTTCTAACATTTTCCATCCGAAAAGTTTGACGAGGTTCTTCTTATTATTGGTATTTAATGTCAGTGACTCTGTATTTTATTTTACGACGTTAATTCTGGTTAGTTTTGTTGTCCTCGCGGCTATAGAAGAGACTCAATAGAAGTTGTTATTTTATTTAAATTGTCAGGCATCTCTGAAAAATTTCGTTTTGAGAATTTCTTATGCATCGTGTTAAATTGAGGATTTTGCGCAAATAAAATTTTTGATTTGAAATTTAAATATTCTTGAGCAAAGCAAATATGAGAATAAAGGAATGCAGGTTATAGGAAAATTATACAGAATCCTCGATATTTAAATTTCATGTCGCATGATCCGATCTATAACACTTACATGACAGTGCCCTTTGGCGCATATGTTACTTTATGGATAGTTTAAATTATCTAAATTTTGAAAGTATTTTTATAATTTATGATTACTTTTATTTTTCAAATTAAAATTAATTTAATTAAAAATTAAATATTTAGAATAGTACATCTGACCTTCCTTTAAATTGCAAAGCTAATCCCCGATATTGCATTTTCGCTTGAACAAATACATATTACTTGTGAGGGTTATTAACCTCTGTTAAAATTATTGATTTGAATAATTTGGCGCATACACGAATTTTAAGATTAAATAAGTGTTTGCTTTTCTAATAAATCAAAATTAGAAAATTTTCTGTTAATTGTATCAACAGTTCCAATTTTTACAAAGCGGGTACAAAAAATATTAGTCAGAGTTAGTACACCTTTAAAAATCCAGACACCTAAATTTCCATATAAGACGCTAATCGTTTCATTAATTCCTCCAGTTTGCCTTTTTCCCTACCTAAGTTGTCGTAATTACTAATTACGGGTTTGTAAAATCTAATTAAATATTCCAATTTTCACAGAATCGGGTAGTTTTAGCGATGATAATATTATATTTCGTGTGTAAATTAACTGTCAGGTGAGAAATCCCCAGCGTAGAATATTGTCATACTTGTATCACAATTGCCGAAATTTATCTTCTTGCCGTTACTTTATCGATTAATCGGAAAAGGAAATTAACCTTAGGCGGGAAGTTATTAGACTTTGCGTCATAGATATCCTTAGGGACTTTGATATAATTGACTATTGTAATGAAAAATAGCTTTTTACTGTAAAGTGTGAAATTAGAAGCATTAAAATAAATCCGAATGACATACCTAAAATTATGGTCAAAATTCTGACCATAATTCATTTTTATTTAGTTAATTTTAATTTGGAATTTGAATTAATTAATCAAAGTTGATTCAAAATCAAATTACATAATCGCACCCCATAAATAAAAATTTTATGAATCAATAACTTACTAAGACACCCCATAATAAAAGTATCTAGAGTGCTTTTTGTAATGTTGTATTTGACGTAGTTTATGGTTGGTGTTAGAGTTGTTGGGGGTGGAGTTACTGCCCGGATGTGGGTCTCTTTGACTGTTGATTACAGCGGATGCGAGAAAACGAGGCGACATTGGGACGTCTTCAACAAGGTGCGGGGCTTCCATCTGAGGAACGAGATCGTGATAGAGAACGAGAACGCTGGAGTCTCCTGAGAGCAGCGAGAGACGAGGCGGATCGAAGTCTCACTTTGGCAGCCAGTTTAGCTGATAAGGAAGCTGCTTTATCTCATGCACATGCCACAATTAAAGAGGTTCGTAATTTTTAATGATAATTATACGTACATTAATATAATACAATTTCTGTTTTTGACATAAACAGTCATGATATTGTTCAATGACCGATTACAAATTCCGATTGTGCATAATATGACAATTATGAATCCTGATTTCTTGAGTACTGACTGTGCAAATTCTGTTTTCGCATAGTATAACAATTGTAAATCCCGGTTGATAGTGTCATGTCTCCGAATGAAACAGACATATCCCAAATTATTTATTTAAATTGTCCGGCATTGGTGATTCAAACCTGATTTATTCGCAGAACGGCAGACTCTGATATTAAGGGACAGGTTTTAAGAAAGTGTAACTGTTAAATTAAAGTTTTTATTTGAATCCTTTACAATTAGAATGAGAGAGAAAGAGTAGATCCAGATGTCTTCAGGGATACTGAAAAATTAGAACTTTGTGGAATCAATCAAGAATTTAAATGGGGACAAAATTTAAAAGTATTAGTTACTTACCTTTTAAAATTGTTCTTAGAGTCGTAGACCTGCTTCAGTGTGAGGTCGAGGAAATTATTTTGTCTAGCGGAAACAGAGAATGCAGTAGATTTCCCTCGAATTGTTTTCGGGCCAGCCAAACTGAAAGGTCCGGAGTTCAGGTGTCGATGTATGTTAGATAAAACATCCCTCAACTTAAGAGTGACCGAATTATTGATTTGACGTTGATGTAATCTTAGGATTTTGAACAGACGTCACCCCCGTTACGTCAATGATCCATATCCGAGAAGAAGTAGGTTTATATTTTTTTAACTTGCCATACTTTTCGAAATAATCTTGAACTTTGTGATTAACTTTTATTTAAAGGCGCTGCTCTCTTGCGCTTGGTGTTCTTAAAGATAGTTCAGGATTTCCTTTCACAAAATATAACCAGATTATTCCAGGCATTTCGCATTTTATTATTGCTCCAACTAGATACCTGGTACAAAAATCCGTGGTTATTTGAGGACGACTTCTCTTTTCAAGTGGATCGACTGAAGTCACTTGCTTATTAGACTGCACCCGGTTACATGCTACTTACAATTAGCTCACAGAATTTTCCAAGTCTAATTGTAAGTCAAGTCTATTTGCTTCCGCTTCCTTTTTCTTTGTAGTTTCAACTAGTTTCTTCAAAAATTCGTCATTGATTGTCCCATTTACAGTCTTTTGGATGTCGCAAGACTTAATCATCTTTACGACTTTCCACGACTTTCTCTTCGATCTTCAGAAGATAATCGGCTTCCTCCTTTCTTCACTGAGCGCAATTTGCGCGATCTTCGTTAACTGCTTCATTGTCAAAGTTGGACGGAATTAGACTTCTTTCGCTATTCACACTCAAAAGACCCGACGAGCTTCCTCTCTTACTTCTGTCTCCTTCCACGATGATCTGTAGATTTAACCTTTCCACAATGACCTGTGAGAAATAGTGTGCCCACACAATTTAGGTGTGCACTTGAGCACCAGTAAGTTTTCCCGTTCCCAGCCTGCTAACATTGGGGTACCTTCTCCGAATTTGCAGAATCCATTTATTCTTGCTATTTGGGTGTCCTTTGGTAACAAGCCCCACCATAATGATAATGATTCTTGGCAGTGGTCCAGCTCTCCCATTCGGAGAAGCTGATTAAAAACTGTAGAATCTGACTTTTTAATCTGAGTAGGTATTACATATTTGTTAATTAAATTTGCAAATTTGCTTTCCAGCTTCAAAGACAATTGGTAGAACGAGGAGGTGGAATTTCTTTGAGCGACCAGGAGTCTCTAGTCTCATTTCCAAGGGGGAGTATAAACGGTGCAGCGACGCCTGGAGCCGGAAGTAGCGGAGGCGGTTGTGGTATAATTCCGCATTTGGGATCTCAGCAACCCCTTGGTAGTGTGGAATTAGGCGTTGGTAATGCCAGTGGCGGTGTGGGGACAGGTTCCACTTCCTGTGGACAAGCTGGTGATCGCGGTAGTTGTAGTGCAGACAGTGGAGTCCGTGGTTCCAGTGACCGAGAAAGTGGTGGTGCCACCAGCGTTGGAGGGAATCTTTCAGATTCAACAACCGACGGTGAGTCTTTTTTACTTTACTAAAAATTCGCCAACATTTTTTTTCAAACTTCTCCTAATTCTCAAATTAGTCCTTAACGATTCTTCCTAATTATTACACACACATCTTCCTTAAATTAATAATTTTCTAAATACTTCTTGTTTACACTAAATAAGAATTAATTATTTAAATAAATACAGAAGTAAATTTTCAAATTCAGTTTGACAAAGTTTTTGCAAAAGAGTGATTTTGTCATTAATCGATTAACGGAATTGAAGCAAAACAAGGGAAACAATAAACATTTTCAGTAAAAAATCGTTTATGACAATGAAAAGTAAAAGAGAAGCTGTTCTATTATATCTGACTAGAAACTTTTTTAATCATATTTTTACGAGATTCTCTTGGAGAGGGAAAGTTTTAATGATCAAACTTTTTACTTTAATATATAATTATTGTGTCTTGGAAGTCCCCCCCCCCCCACTTTCTCCTCGAAAACTTTGGTGTGCTGCTACAAATTTCCACTTAGGTGGCTTTTGCTATGAAATTAATTTCAACTACATTCATATAATATAATTTCTCCTAATTGTAAATTTAATATTAATTATTATTAAATAATAATTAGTGTTATATTATAAATTTAATTTTAAAGATTTTCATAAGTATTCATCGTGTCTCTCGTCATGTCTCGTTTATTAATATACTGTAGGTAACCTATACTAACTTCTTTTGTGAACAGTCAATTTTCACAATAGTGCATATTAGATCCTGAAAACTCACTGGCATGAAATTCTATTAAAAACATTAACACTTTTACAAGCATATTTTGAAATTTACACGTCAAGTAAATGGCTCTTAATTTTTTCCCACTATTTTCTAAGTAATTAATTTTAAATCCTAAGACAACCGAGATTACAAATAAAATTTAAAAAACCAAAGAAGCTTTAAAATAAATTTTCTAATTTCAAATATCAATCACTTTTTAAATTTATCTAATTTTCCTGGGGGTCGATTCCGTAACTTTTTTACTTCCCACTTCCACTTTCCGCCTTCTATTCACACTTTCTATTTCCCACTCCCACTTTCCACTCTCACTACCCACCTTCCACTCCCACTTTCTACTGCCCACCCCCACTTTCCATTCCCCATCTTCACTTTTCACTTACCATTCCTAATTTCACTTTCTACTTTCATTTTCCACTTTCCACTCCCACTTTTCACTTTCTTACCATTCGGAATGGAAAGTGAAAACTGGAACTGAAAAGTGGGAAGTTAGAGTGTAAATTAGGAGTTGAAAGTGGAAATGAAAGTGGGAAGTGAAATTAGAAACATAAGTAAAAAGTGAAGATAGGGAATGAAAAGTGGGAGGGGACGCATGATTATTCTCCAAATGTCATTTTTCCGAAATGTCATTTTACCGAACTGCACTTTTGCGAATAGTCATTTTTGCGAATCGCCATTTTTACGAATTGTCATTTTTACGAAAAGCTATTTTTGCGAATTGTCATTTTTGCGAATTGCCATTTTTACGAATTGTCAATTTTCCAAAAAGTCATTTTTGCGAATCGCCATTTTTACGAATTGTCAATTTTTCGAAAAGTCATTTTTACGAATTGTCACTTTTGCAAAATATCATTTTTACGAATTGTCATTTTTACGAAAAGCTATTTTTGCGAATTGTCATTTTTGCGAATTGCCATTTTTACGAATTGTCAATTTTCCAAAAAGTCATTTTTGCGAATCGCCATTTTTACGAATTGTCAATTTTTCGAAAAGTCATTTTTGCGAATCGCCATTTTTGCGAAAATTCCTATAGTGAATCTATATATGCATACAAGTTTACTATAGGAATTTTCGCAAAAATGACAATTCGCAAAAATGACTTTTCGGAAAATTGACAATTCGTAAAAATGGCGATTCGCAAAAATGACAATTCGTAAAAATGACTTTTCGCAAAAATGACAATTCGCAAAAATGACTTTTCGGAAAATTGACAATTCGTAAAAATGTCGATTCGCAAAAATGACAATTCGTAAAAATGACTTTTCGCAAAAATGACTATTCGCAAAAATGACAATTCGTAAAAATGTCGATTCGTAAAAATGTCGATTCGCAAAGTGACAATTCGAAAAAATGACATTTCTCAAAAATGACAATTCGCAAAAATGGCAATTCGGAAAAATGACATTTGGGGAATAATCATGCGTCCCAAGTGGGAGTGGAAGGTGGGTAGCAGTGGGTAGTGACAGTGGAAAGTGTTAGTGGAAGGTGGAAGTGAAAAGTGGGAAGTGAGAGTAGAAAATGAAAGGTGGGAAGTGTAAAGTGTTAGTGGAAGATAAAGTAGGAAGTGAGAGTGGGAAGTGGAAGTGAAAGTAGGAAGTGAAAGTGGAAAGAAAGAGTATAAAGTGGGAGTAGAAGGTGAAAGTGAGAGTGGGAAGTGAAAGTGAAAGTAAGAAGTGAGAGTAGAAAGTGAAAGGTGGGAAGTGTAAAGTGTTAGTGAAAGGTGGAAGTGAGAGTGGGAAGTGAAAGTGGAAAGTAAGAGTAGAAAGTGGGAAGTGTTAGTGGAAGGTGAAAGTGGAATGTGGGATGTAAAAGTGGAAAGTGGGAGTAGAAGGTGGAAGGTGAGAGTGGATAGTGGGGGGTGTAAAGGAGGAAGTGAAAGGTAAGATGTGAGAGTGGGAAGTGGAAAAGTTACAGATTCGACCCCCTGTAAGCTTACAGCAAACTTCGCATTTCAAGTTTTGCTGAATACTTACAAGTTAATAGTTCATTGTCGATTGTTTCATCCACCGAATGTTTTTTTATATTTTCACACTAACTTTCACAATGACATTTGCACGTTATAGAAAATGACACTTTTCCAACTTTCTCAATTTGCATTAAATGTTAATTTTTAAAAATAACAATATAAGTAGAAAAATAAAGAACAGCATAAAGAACACACAAAAATTGCTTGAGTCAACATCGAGGACAACATCTTGGAAAACTACCATTGAAGTGAAAATTGATTCCATATGAATTTGTTTTTTTAAAAAAGAATCCCTATATTTCGCACAGGGACTCCGACAATAACGGTCGAGGGAAGTGGTCTGGATATGGACAGCATCTCTGTGGTATCCTCAATAGCGCCATCTCACATGTATCAATGTAAGTGTTTTACATGAACATCAAAACGCCATTGAAAGTCATTCTCATAAAACCAGGATAAATAGGAATAGAATCCAACCAACCTGGAGTTGGATGAAGGCTTCTAATTTTTAAATAACACATTCGCTAGTTCTTTGATTTGTATAAAATTATTTAAATTAAAAATATCTGCAAAATGTAAAAATTGTAAACTTTAAGAAATTGCTTAAAGCTGGTACGAATCTGATATCAGATTTTTGAAATTCAAATTGGCGAAGGAATTTTTAACCCCTTAAAACTGTGGCTACAATTTTAAAGAAAGTGCCTAAAATGTGGGGGAAAAATTCTTTAAATTTCAGTAAAACCTTCTATATAGGGGTTTTCAGGTTGCTGCGATTATAAATTTTATGTCAGATATTTAAAATTTAAAATGTCGGGCAAGATTTTTTTAAATTTATTAGCAACTTCTATAAACGCTCCCTATAATTTTTAACATTTGCGGTTGTCATTTTAGATCCAATATTTTGATTTTTTAATTTTTTAAATCTATTATCAAATTTGGATTCAGTGACCCCAAAATTTTCCGAGGAAACAATTTTTGACAAACAGGTTCAATTTAAAAATGTTTTGCTCGTCATATTAAATCCACTGATTTAGATTTTTAAAATCTGATATTAAATTCGGATTCATAGACATCAAAAAAATACACTCCCGAGTAATACATTTTGATCGAAATGTATAAAATTTTTAATTTTTCATCATATTGGGTCGCCAGTTTAAATTTGTAAATCTAACATTAACTTTCAATTTAGCAATTGTAAAATACCCCCTCTAACGAGTTTCAATCAAATCTGCTCAATTTAAAATTTTTTTGATCTACATATTGGATCCGCCATATTGAATTTTATAAATCTGACAGCAGATTCGGATTCAGCAACTCCAAAAACCTTAGAATGGTGAATAAATAAATCAAATTGCTTTTAATGTTTTTATTAGACTCTTTTTCAATTGAAATAAAAATTGTGCATGAATTTTCAAGTTCTAAACAATGTAAACAAAATAACTGATTATTTGAATTGATTATTATTATATAGTTGTAAAAGAAACATATAAGTTTTTATAAAATAATTCGGTTCATATATTTCGCAAAAATAATTTATTTTAAAGTAAAACTAAATTTTTGTTTACTTACGATAGCACTAAATTTTTATAATAATTTACACATATAAATAGTCTACTTATTTAAATTTATTTAAAATTATTATTATAAATGCTATATATAGTAATTTATATAATAAAAACGTGAAAATTAGTTATAAATGTATCTCTGAGTCTATAGGTTAGTGTTTAGTTTACATTTTTAATGATTATATCCTCGAATTAAGGTGCTTGTAAAATTAAAATTACTTTGTTTATTTACAATTTGAAAGCATAATGGTGGCCACATTTCAACCAGTTTTGTGTTTAATGGTCGTTTCATCCTCACTTAATACGTGTTATGTGCACTCCACAACTGATTACCAAGGACATCGGCTTTCGTCTTCATTTGTAACCAGTTTTCAGACAGTTTAAAAAATTTTCAAATTTAAATTTCCCTTGCTTTAAACAATATTCATCGATCGTATCAAATTGGAAAATAAATTTTGATTTTATTCCACTTTTCTTTTTATCATCTATAAAATTAAAATTTTTTTATAATTTCTTAATACTTAGATTTTAAATTTAACTTAATTTTATGAAATGAAAACAAATTTTGAATTTTTCATTTACATATATTTCTATTTATTATTAATATTATTATTTTTTTGAATTTATTTCTATTCTGTTCTATTTACTACTTTGTTATTTTATTTCGTTTTTTTTATTCTTTTTTCTTAATTTATTTTTTTTATTATTAATTATTATTATTATTACATATTATAATTATTACTTATAACAATTGTAGTTCTGTTATTCATTAAAATTTTCAATTGTTCGAAAATTTTTCAAATTAATTGGTTTTTGGAAATTCAATTATCTTGGAGAAATTTTTATGAAATTTTAATTAAAATTTTCCTGAAATCTAATTTTTATAAAATTTCGAAAATTAAATGATTCAATGCTTTCAGTAAAAGTTGTTTAATTAATTGAAATTATTGATGTTTTATTTTATTTATTATTATATTATTATTGATATTATTTTTGATAAAATTATAATATTCTAGGGGGCCGTTCAAAAAATACGTAACGCTTTAGGGGGGAGGGGGGGTCAAGCTGTTTGTTACGGTCAGCAGAAAAAATGTCGCTAATGTATACAACATTGCGTTACATGGGGGGAGGGGGGGGGGGTCCAAATTTCCGAAAAATAGCGTTACGTATTTTTTGAACGGCCCCTATTCCAATGCTATTATTTAGTTTATCTTAATTTTAATTTTATTAAAAAATTACAGATTCAAATCCTAATTTTAAGCCCAACTCTAACGATTATTTAATTAATAATACCAACATAGAAATTAATATAAAAAAATGTGAAATTTCAGTCATTTTAATTTTTCAAATTATATGTACATCACCTAGCATTTCATAATTTTAGCCTTGTTGAGCCTTGTCACCTCAATTTTACAAAGCATATACATTACTTACCATATATTTTATAATTTTAGCGTTGTTGTCATTGCTGGTGCACGTGCATGAAAATAATATATATTTATTAAATCAGTAATTTTTTAAAAGGTTTATTATTACTGAACGCCAAACAATTAGGAAGATTGAATGTGTGTTCTTTATGTTGAGTAGATAATAAGTATATTTGTGTACGTAAATTTAATACAAAAAGTACCTCAAATAAGAAAATTTATTTTCAGATATGAGGCCTTTATTTATAGCAATAATAATAGCATCAATGTCTATTTAAGTTGGGAACTTTTAAAAGATTTTCTGCTTCTTTTAATTGTCTGCATTTAAGTTAAATTTTTTTTTATGTAAAAAATACATAAAAAATTTAGTAACTAAATACAATAAGTAAAATAAATATATTACACTTGATAGTTGTTAAATGTAAAGAGAATAAAAATTAATAAATTTTAAAATAAAGTAAAAAAGAAACAGTGTGTAATAAAAATAAAATTTTTGAAAAACAAAGTATATATAATGGTAAACAAAAATGATTGTTGAAAATATTTTTTATTTACAGCTACAACTCCAAAGGATTGCAGTCCAACTTTGTCGCCTTTAAATGCATTTTCAAGGTCAATGGATAATTCTTCATTATCTCGTTCTGTGGAACAACTGTCGAGTCCTTTGGAATCTGAACCTAGAAGAAATAAACAGACACCATCTGTCGTTGCACCTGCTGCACATTCACGGTCTTCTGCCACACGTGGAGGCACGTGGGGTTCCATTTCAAGGTAATTACAACACTGCCATTAGTTTACCATAAAATCGATATTTATTTAAATTTTTATATTATAGGTTCCACGCATTCATTAGACTACAATTTTTAGATCCTTAAACCAATATTACATCCGGTATTCTTATTTCTTTTTTTTTTTGCTGTATTTAATCCAGGATTTTGAATCCATTTTAAAATTCAATATCATAATAGAGGTTTTAATAAACTTCGAATATGGTTGGACTTTACAATTTAATTTTTGTTCTTGGGGAATTTTAATAACGGGATTATCATAAAAGTATTCTAATTAAAAATAAAACTTTTTTTTACTAAAAATTGTTAATTTTTGAAAAAATTTTGTTTTGCATGAATCCTACGATTTTTTCTTAGAATAAAGGTAGAATAGAGTTAATGATTTGAAGTCCATTAGTTCATATAAATCCAATAATTAAAAAAATTAATAATAAGAATAAAAAATTTACTATAAATTTAATAATTTAATATTTAATAATTAATATTTGTAATCTGCAACCCCTAAAACCTTCGAATAACAAGTTTGATGTAAAATGGTGTAACTTTTAATAATTCTCCCGCCATATTGGATCCGCCATTTTGAATTTTTGAAAGCTTACATCGTATTCGTTATCAGCGACCCCGAAAACCCCCGAGTAACAATTTTTAAACAAAATGGTGTAATTTTTAAATAGTCGTCCGCCATATTGTATCCGCCATTTTTAATTTATAAATTCTGACATGAAATTTTAATTTAGCAACTACGAAGACATTCCACTTGTGTTAAATTCATTTCAGTGTCTGTGGACAAAGAAATACATCTTTTAGACGCCCCGGTGCGCACTGGGGCAGTACTAAAACATTTTTGTTGCCAAAAATGGTCGAAATGTTTAATAGTCTCTGCCATTCTGGTTTTTAACGACAATTTATAATTTCACTACCGGCTATAGACACTTGATTAAATTTTAATATCCCATTTCAAATTTATTGCTTTAGACGTAGTTTCTAACTTTTGATATTATGTCAAACAGATTTCTGCACTGTGAAAAGAATGGTACAGATTTAGTACCAATTTTGGTACTAATTCGGATGCAATATGAATTTTCAAAAACCAACATCAGATTCGTAATCATTGACCCAAGAAACCGCTATTTTGAATTTTGAAAAAGTAACATCTAACATCGTCATTGGTTCTATTTTAAGACCGAAATCAGCTCTAATTTAGAACATTTTTTTTTACAGTGATGCTTACTACCCTTGCAGTCACCATTTTGTCGCAATAAATAAAAATAAATAAAAATTGTACAAATAACTTTTTCCATTTACTTATTAAATGTATGTGATGTAATCTATAAAATTTTTTCATAATATTCAAAATGTCGGATCCAATATGGCGAACAAATTTTTTAAAATACATTCAATCAGCTTGAAACTTGGTATTCGGGGGTTTTTGGGGTCACTGATTACTAATCAGATGTTACTTTTTCAAAATTCAAAATAGCGGTTTCTTGGGTCAATGATTACGAATCTGATGTTGGTTTTTGAAAATTCATATTGCATCCGAATATTCGATGTTTTGAATTTTGATATTAATAACTTTGGATGTGAAATATACAATTTCTGGTTGTTTTATTTTTAAACAACTCTCATTTTTATTTATATAACTCTATTTCTACGCATTCTATATATATGGTGTAGCGCGAAAATGCCTTGTGTCTAATCATAATCTCACCTTGTCGTATATTGTAATAATTATTACTATACTTTTCTCGTGGGTTATGTAAGAATGAGCTTTGCATAATTCTCCATCCTGCTTCTCTTCCTCTATTCATCTTCTTGGCCCACTTATTTTTCTCTATCTCTTACGAGTCTTTTTTACTTTTTCGAAGAATGACCTAAAGTCTTAGAATCCTTTATTTCTGACGACGTAATTGTTTACTTTCTCACTGAATTTTTTCTTATACAATAAAAGGTCCTTTTACTGTTGGTCGACATTTTTGCATTTAAGAATGTTTTACAAATCCTTTTCTATGTTGCAATGACAAATGACTATCGCTTTTTTGCTTTCTGGATTAAAAATTTTTTTTTTCCATCACTTTATAGATTCCTTCTTCTTCTATGTCGCCACAATCTGCAAACCTCGTAACTCCATTTGACGCAACTTTACAGAAGAGCAAGAAAACTGTTTTACAAAAAAATTAACTTACCTTAACTTTTTATAACCTAATCGCAAAACTAGGGTCGTCTGGCACCCTAGACGACGTTTAACACCACACCAATCAAAATTAAAGTAGTACTAGCCGCGCATAAGGACTGGAATCAACTGTCAGATAGATCAAATGAATTATGAGAATTCCTTAAAAGGGAATTGTTTTACTAAGTTGAATTAACTGAGTAAAGCAATTCCCTTTTAACCTACCATTAAAGAATATTCTGAAAGTATTTTATTTAGTAGTACCGTTAATAAGTAATTAAATATAATTTTTTTCATTGATCCTAAGAACAGGTGAACAATTTCGTCCATTTTATATATTTACGATTAAGAAGACAATTTTAAGTGGTTCGCTATTCTCTGGAACTTTTCAGGGTATTTGCTCGCTCACGTCATCGGAAAGCAGTAAATACCTCCGGAATTGGGAGTATGGGGAGCGAAGGTCCAGAAGGATTCGACCCATATCGATCGCGGTCACCCCTTACAGAAGAAGGATACGCTGAGAAACTCCGTCTATTGCGGGAAGCTGCATCAGTACCAATGGAAAGATGGAGAGCACCTACGGTCTTAGCATGGCTCGAAGTTGCACTTGGAATGCCACAATACGGTCCAAGATGTGCTGAAAATGTCAAGTCTGGCAAGGTAATATTTTCAGTATCAAAAAATATCCAAATCTTCTTAAACAAACCAGTCCAGAAATGTAAATTTACAGTCTTGGAAATTTACATCGCGGTTAATATTTATAGCAAAACAGATGTTTATGGTGTGTTCCTAATGGAAAAATCCGTTACAGGTTTTGTTAGAATTAAGTGACGCTGAGCTGGAGGCTGGACTCGGAGTGACTCACCCTTTGCATAGAAAGAAGTTAAGACTGGCAATTGAGGAACATCGGCAGCCGAATTTAGTTCGATATCCTTGCATTGCACAATTAGGACACACTTGGGTCAGTTCCGAATGGTTGCCTGACCTTGGACTTGCTCAATATTCTGAAAGTTTCGCTACAAATATGGTAGACGCCCGAATGCTGGACCACCTTAGCAAAAAGGAGCTTGAAAAACTTCTCGGCGTTACGAGAAAGTTCCATCAGGCCAGTATTGTTCACGGAATTCATTTACTCCGGATGCTCAACTACGATCGACAGGTAATAACTTATATCAACATCAAAAAATATTTAATACATAATTATCGAATGGAAAGTGATGGAAATGTTTTTCTTTTGGCAATTTTAAGGCTCTCGCAGTTAGGAGGCATAATTGTGAACAAATTAATATGGATCCTCTTGTTTGGACAAACCAAAGGTTTATTCGATGGGCAAGAAGTATCGATTTGACAGAATATGCGGACAACCTGAAGGGTAAGATTTTCTTTATTTATCTCTTTAATGAACGTTTAGAATATTTAGCGATCTTGTCAATTCTTTTTCTAAGAAAACATGTTTGCGGTGAAAAAAAATTTATCAAGTCGAAATCATTTAAAATGATAAATGAAAATAGATTTACCTAGGTAGAATACTAAACTTATAAAAGTCACTAAAAGCACATCCGAAAATATGACTTTTGGACTTCTTTAAGACATTTCAAAAATATGTTTTTTATCATAAATTTTCTATATTCAAAGGCACATTTAGTATTAAATTAAATTACTATTGATTACGAACATAACATCAGAAGGTCGATTATATAATTTCACTTAAATTTCACTTTTACTCAAATTTCATTTTCACTTCACTTTCACTCCAATTTCACTTTTACTCAAATTTCATTTTCACTCCACTTTCACTCCAATTTCACTTTTACTCAAACTATATTTTCATTTCATTTTCCCTCCAATTTTACATTTATTTAAATTTTATTTTCACTTCACTTTCACTTAAATTTTATTTCACTCCACTTCCACTCTACTTTTATTTTCTCTCAAAACTTTCTTTTCAATTCACTTTCATTTTTACTTTCACTTTATTATTCTTCCACTGTCACTCCACTGTCACTCACAATTTATTTTCACTCCACCTCACTTTTAGTTAAATTTTATTTTCAATCCATTTTGACTTCACTTTCACTTTTACTCAAATTTTATTTTTACTCCTCTTTCACGTTCACTCAAATTTTATTTTCACTCCACTTTTATTTTTTCCTCAAATTTTGTTTTGAGTCCATTTTCAGTCTATTTAAGTGGATTAACTTTTATTTTACTTTCACTCAAAATTTATTTTTACTCCTCTTTCACTTTCACTCAAATTTTGTTTTCATTCCACTTTCATTTTTCCTCAAATTTTTTTAGGCCATTTTCACTTATATTATATTTTAACTCTACTTTAATTTTCCCTCAAATTTTATTTTCACTCCACTTTTATTTTTACTTAAATTTTATTATTCTTTCACTTTCACTTCATTTTTGTTCAAATTTTTTTCTCTTCACTTTCATATCACTTTCACTCCAATTTAATTTTTACACAATTATTATTTTCACTCCATTTCCACTCTAATTTCATTTTCTCTCAAATTTTTTTTCAGCCCTCTTCCACTTATATTATATTTTGCCTCCACTTTCGCTTTCCCTCAAATTTTATTTTGACACAACTTTCACTTTTCCTGAAATTTTATTTTCACTCCACTTTAACTTTTACTTAAATTTTATTTTCTTTCCATTTTCATTAAAAATTTATTTTCACTTCTCTTTCATTATTTTCACTCAAAATTTATTCTCACTGCACTTTCACTCAACATTTATTTTTACACCACTTTCACTTGACTTTCACTTTCATTCAAATTTTATTAACGATTTCTTTACAATTAGAGAGATAATTAAAATAGGAAGTGGAATAAAAGATGATATTAGGGGTACAGAATTAAATAAATGTGGAGTGAAAATGAACGTGAAAGTGCAGTGAAAATAAAATTTGATTAAAAGTGAAAGTGGAGTGAAAATATAAATTCAGTAAAAGTGAAAGTAGAGTGCAAATAAAATTTAAGTAAAAGTAAAAGTAGAGTGAAAGTGAAATGAAAGCGGAGAGAGAATAAATTTTGAGTGAAAATAAAAGTGTTGTGAAAATAAATTTTGAGTGAAAGTGGAAGAACAATAATAAAATTTGAGTTAAAGTAAAAGTGAAGACAAAGTGGAGTGCAAATAAAATCTGAGTTAATGTGAAAGTAGAGTGAAAGTGAAGTGAAAGTGGAGTAAAAATAAAATCTGAGTAAAAGTGAAAGTGGACTGAAAATAAAAATTAAGTAAAAGTGAAAGTGATGACAGGGTGGAGTGCAAATAAAATCTGAGTAAAAGTGAAAGTAGAGTGAAAGTGAAGTGAAAGTGGAGTAAAAATTAATTTTGAGTAAAAGTGAAAGTGGAGAGAGAATAAATTTTGAGTGAAAATGAAAGTGTTGTGAAAATAAATTTTAAGTGATAGTAGAAGGAAAGTAAAATTTGAGTTAAAGTGAAAGTGGAGTGAAAATAAAAATTCAGTAAAAGTGAAAGTGGAGTTTAAATAAAATTTGAGTAAAAGTGAAAGTGGGGTGAAAATAAAATTTGAGTAAAAATGAAAGTGGAGTGAAATTAAAAATTGAATAAAAGTGAAAGTGGAGTGAAAATAAAATTTGAGTGAAAGTGAAGATAGAATAAACTTTGAGTGAAAATGAAAGTGTTGTGAAAATAAATTTTGAGTGAAAGTGGATTGAAAATAAAATTAGATTTTAAGTGAAAATGGAGTGAAAATAAAAATTCAGTAAAAGTGAAAGTGGGGTTTCAAATAAAAGTTGAGTAAAAGTGAAAGTGGAGTGAAAATAAAATTTGGGTAAAAATGTTTCAAAATCGTTCGGATTCGCTTGAAAGTGTTTACTTTGGAAATTTCAGTTTCCATTTTTTCATTACTCTTTCAAATCTAATATATATGCGAAAATTTGGAAACAAATAATTTCAGTAATGTCACGAAATTTATTTACAGATTCGGGAGTCCATGGAGCATTAGTAGTTTTGGAACCTTCCTTCACTGGAGATACTATGGCGACAGCCTTGGGAATTCCTCCAGCTAAACATATGATTCGACGACATCTCACTGCAGAACTCGACGGTCTTGTTCTTCCAGCAAGGTACTCAGTCTACTGTCATCCAGATGCAACCCTGGACAACGCTCACTTATAATCAACGAGCAGTTCACATTTTCCCCTATTTAATATCAGCGCCATTCAATTCACGAAGTGATGTTTTTTCAGTCTTTATCGCCCCCAAATGAAAATCACACATTTCATAAACCTAACATTCAACATTGCGTCCCTGCTGCTTTTAAATATTTCCATATTGCAAGAAAAGAAGAAATGAAATTTTTTATTTTATTAAAATTTTTATTTTATTCTCACTTTTAAATCTTAACATAAAAGTAAATTTAAATACAATATCTTTAAATTTAGATATGAACTATTGGAAAGTTACAATTGAAAATGATGCATTTTAATCTTTAACTTAAAGCAGGGACGACAAATTTAGAAACAATCGAATTTTCTTATCGATTGTTTTTAAAATTTTAATGAAATATTTGTGAGAAATTAGGGATGTAACGAAACATGCGATTCATCAGTGGTAAACTACTATCTTTTTTTTATAAATTAATTTCTTTAAAATAGACAATTAAAATATATTATTTTCATCATGAAATCGTTCAGTAGGAGAAATAATTATTTTTTAAAGAATTAAAATTGACTTGACAAACTGTTTTTAGAAAAGAATTTTTAAAAATTATAAAAAAGCCACTGATCGTTAAAATTGTATGCAACGTTACATTTTCCATTGTTGTCTCGCATGATGCGTTTCATCAATTTTCGTAAGCAGACGCCAAAGTGGAAAGAGCTTATAAAATCCATACGTAATTACTAAAAGGATCAGTAAAATTTAAAGCACATGTCGTAAAGTAATTAAGAGAAAAAAATAAGATATAGTAATATATTAAGTAAAATATAATATATTTAGAGAAATAATTGAATTAATTTTGAAATTTCTCCATTAAAAGGGAATTTTTCCATTTTTTATATAAAATATTTTAATATTTAAAAAATTTTAATATTTCATGTTTTTGATATTTGCATTCTATAAATTACAAAAGGAATTTTTATTTAGTTGGAAAATTATCAAAAGGGAGAAAAGTGATTTCTGTTTTTATAATAATGATATTTTCATGGGTATAACTTAATTGTTTATTGATATCAGTTTTTAAAATCGTAATTTTAAATACTCAATAAATTGAAAATTTGTTTTTAAAAAAAGCTCAACTGGCAGCATTATTCACAACTTTACTCTAGTCTTTCTATATTGCAAAAATATTGACAACATTGAAGAAAAGTTGATGTTATTACTGCTATTTGAGGTACTGTAGGAGCTGCAAATTAATTTGTACAAAATATTTAGAGAAACACGAAATATTTAATTTAATCTAAATTTTTAGATTTTTGCTAATTATATTAACCCGTTGACTGTCGATGACGGCTATATTGCAGAAAGTAAAAAAATGAATTTAAAAGTCCTTAGTAATTTCAGAAATTCGTTATTGGGGGTTTTCGGGATCGCTGATTATACGAATTTGATATCAGATTTACAAAATTCAAAATGGCGGATCCAATATGGCGGAACGAAATATTAGAAATTGAACGGATTTTTATAAAATTTGATACACTTATGTTTATTAGGTCGCTGATTACGAATTTAAAGTCAGTTTTTCATATATTAAATTTCGTATCGAATTATTAAAAGATGAACAGATTTTTAAAAAATTTCGTATTCTTACTTTTTCAGGTTGCTGATAACGAATTTAAAGTAATTTTTATGAAATTTGACACACTCACAATATTTGTGTTATTAATAACGAATTTAACATCAGATTTACAAAATTCAAAATGGCGGGTCCAATATGGCGGAAAGAAATAATAGAAACTAAACGGATTTTTATTAAATTTGATAAACATATGTTTATTAGGTCGCTGATTACGAATTTAAAGTCAGTTTTTCAAATTTCAAATGGCGGATCAAAATATTAAAGGATAAACAGATTTTTATAAAATTTCATATACTTACGATTTTCAGGTTCCGATAACGAATTTAGAGTAATAATATTCGTGTAATTTGGCATACTTACGTTTTTGGGGTCGAATTAGGAATTTGATTTCGAATCTGACATCAGATTTTCAAAATTAAAAATGGCGGATAGAATTATTAGAAAATGAACGGATTTTTATCGATTTTTGTATGCTTTCGTTTTTCCGGTCGCTAATTACGAATTCGAAGTGAGTTTTTCAAATATGAAACAAATTAAGTCGTTTATTACGAAATTAAGTCACTTTTACGATATTCAAAATGGCGGATCTAATATGGCGGTAAGAATTATTAGAAAATGATCGGATTTTTATAAAGTTTAGTATACTTATGTTTATTGAGTCGCTGATTCCGAATATGATGTCGGTTTTTTAAATTTCAAAATGGCGGATCCAATATGGCGGATAGGAATATTAGAAAATGAACCGATTTTCATAAAATTTGGTATATTTAATTCTGTGGATTCGCTAATTTCAGTAATAAAGTTAGTTTGTAAAAACAAATTTCTAAAATTTCCGATTCGACAGCTAAGGGGTTAAAGTTTAAATTTCAAAGTGTCTGCAAATTTCCTTCTTCTTCTTCATTCAACGAACAATGGAAATCTTAAGCTTTTTCCTTAAAATGTACGTTTAAATGCTTCCATGAATTTAATGTTTAATCACCTCGATGAAAATAATACCACTTCCTAATATATAGCATTATATGCTATAATAATTTTTAACGAACTGATGAATTTTATAATTATATATTTTAAAGATAAATTTACTAGTCTCTTTTTTAAATTGTTATAAATATTGAATTTTAATTATTGAAATTGAAAGCAAATGAGTTAATTATTGTGTAATCGATATTCTTGATTGATTTTGATCGAGATGACTTTATTTTGCAATGTAAATTTACTCTTTTAATTAATACACATACTATACCTGAAACAATCAAGATTACATGCACGTAGATACAAATACTATATAAACATGTATTCGACATAATGTACATATACAAACATTATTCAGTTCTTTTTAATCAAAAAAAAAAAAAAAAAAAAAAAATCAAAAAATCAAAAAATGATCGCTTAAATATCAGCGAGTTGTGGTCTGGATCAACATATACTTTTAATCGATTAAAAAGAAATAAATATTTAACCAAAGAAATGAGAATTATACAAAATTGAATAAATAATAATTAATTACGTGCTGATTTCGATGAATTTTCATATATAACTGAGCCGTAGCCCACAGCTGCCTGCACTGCACTGCGCTATGTACAGCACTCATGATTCTTTAGCGATTCTGGCTTCACTCTTGATTCAATATTTTTTTTTATTTTCTTCATTTTTATTTCACAAAAAAAAAGAATTCTGAAGGTAGAAAATCCTTTTAGAAAAATAATTCTAAGGGGACGTTAACAGCATTTCACTGTTAGGTTACGTAATCGGAGGAGCAATTTAAAAATCACTTTTCGCGTAAAATGGAAAGTCTATTGAGTTTAGGTTTTCAAACTTGGAAAATTCGATTTTCTAACTTCACTTTTTCGAACAATTACAAAGTATACAAAAATATTTTTTTTTCTTTGCTTTTGATGCACTTCTTTATTTTATTGTCCAATTTTACGATTTTCTTTTTATTTTTTTTTGTCTTGCAAAATCACCGTCAAGTCGGTTCAATATTTTCTAGATAAATAATTTACAAATCAAATTGTGTTGACCTAACAGACAAATGCTGATCAGTTAAAATTGAACAAATCAAGGAATTCAAATAATTTAATGATTTATACCATTTAATAATTATTTATACAACTTGTTTTTTCTGATTTTCTGCTCTTATTCTGATTTTTCTTTTTCTATTCGAGAGAAATGAAAAATGTCTTGCTTTTTTTGTTTTTATTTCAATATTATTCCACTTAGTCCCAAAAGTTCAATTTTTTTTTGTTCAAATTTAATTTTCCCGTTTTACCAGAGTGTTTTATGTAAAAAAAATGGGTACTGAATGTTTCTAATAGATTTTTGTGTCTTATTTCAGAATCTACAAGGAAATTTAAATTTTAACTAAAGAAAAAAAGTTATGATTTAATTAAATAAAAAAAAATATGAATTTTTCATGTTTTTTCGTTTATAATTAGATTTTTGAATTCAATTTGCTTTATAGAAAAACTCGACACACTTGAAAAAGATTTGTTTGATTCAAGTAGTTGATCACTTTTCTATTATCAAATAAATATTTATTGCGCTATAAAAAAGTTTTTTTTATTTGCATCAAAAACTGAAATTATTGGTTTAAAAACAATTCATTTGATTGCAATAAAAATTATTTGATTCAAGTAAATATTTATTGGATAATGGACAAATAAATTGGTTATTTTAATAAAATAAACATTTTTTTTCAAAAGTAACAAACAAAATTTCGCTTAAAAAATATAGAACTTTGAAATGACGATGTTAAGAAAATTCAAAATGGCTTTTCAAAATGGCCGCTAAAAAGTGGAAAATTTTTAAAAATAGCATAATAAAGATTTAAAAAATATTTTTAAATTAAATTTTTAAAAAGCAAAAAAGACTCGTAGAAAATTATTAATAAATAATAAAATCTAGTTATTCGATATTATTTAGAATTATTATAAACAATTTTTAAAAATGATATTCAAACTAAGAGGTATAAACGTGGAAAAAGTTCGTTTTAAAATTGTTTATAAAAAATGTTTATAACAATGTTAAATAATGATTAACATGATCTTATCATTTAGTAATAATTTACTACGTAATTTGAGTATTTGTATTTAAAAAAAATTTACTTGACATTTTTATTAAGCAATTTTTAAAAGTCTTCTAATATTTGCGGTCATTTTGAAGCGACATTTTAAATTTTGTTAAACTTTTTATCTCTCATTATGTGTATCTAAAAATCCTAACATTGTAATTTTTTTTTTTTTTTTTTTTTTTTTTTTTTTTTTAATCCTAACATTTTGATGTTACGAATATTTTCTAAAGTGATTTTAAACCAAAAAAAAATAGAAATCTGGCTTAAGAAATTATAACTTTTTTCTCCTGAAGTTGAAATTTAAAATTTCTTGTAGATTTTGAAAGAGGACACAAAAATCTATAAGAAACAACAAGGGTCTATTTTTTTAATAAAATTAAAATTTGCATCAAGAAGTCAGACTTTTGGGACTAAATTTGTTAATTTAACTTTCAGATTCAAAATTTTTGGGTTTCATTTTAAAATATTTTGATAACTTTCAATACAAATTCTACACGTATATAGGCTGTGAAATAAAAATTGAAGAAATTTAATAAAAATCTTTATTTCTATGAAAAATCTTTTCGAATCTATGAAAATTTATAAAAATATATATATTTTTTTCTATATATAAAGCAAAATGAAAATTAAAAAATTTGTTGCATAACGTTAAGAAAAAGAATCAAGAGTCACGCCATCTTGCATTATGATTCATTTTATCCTCTTTTAATTTGCTCTAAACTTTGTCATATATCTTTTGATTGTTCGATGTTACATTTTTATGGCATTATTTGGCTCTAATGTGTCCAATATTCTTGAAATGAAAGAAATTTAAAATCTTTGTTTTAATTAGTTAGTATTATTCCCTTTGAGAAAATAGTCTGTGATTATTTCTTTTTTTTATATTTAATAAGTGTGGTACATTGGAGCCCAGTAAATACAACGTTTTTCTATCGATGGAGCACAGAATATGCTTGTGTATGTATATTTATGTTGTAACTAGATATTCGATATTAATATTAATATATCCATATTATTATTATACATTGATTTCTTCCCAGGAAATATGCTGTGATCCTCCTAGTAAATTAATTTTTCAGAGCTCGTTTATCTTATTAGAGAAATCTATAAATACTTTTTTGAAAAATCTATTCGCGGAAAATTTTAATATTTTAATTTTTAAATAATAAAGATCTTAAACTTTTTTGTTTGGTCCAATGGCTTTTTTCAAGCCATTAGGCCAAACAAAAAAGTTTAAGATCTTTATTATGTAAAATAATTTTTTAATTAATTAAAAAAAAAAAAAAAAAATTTAATTTTTACTATACTCGACAGTTTCGAAAAGAGATAGTTCACAGTTTAAATATTTTTTCGGGTGTTTTGGCCACGTTTTTGGTATTTGGAACCACTGTGCGCCGTAAAAATATTACAATTTTAGTTGAATTGAAAAATTCCAAAAAGTTCCGATCAAGCTAAAAATTTATATTTCCATAAATTCCATACAAACTTTAAATTGATGGCTATATTTTGAACAAGAATTTCATAAATTCAGAATATCATTTCCGTAAGGCGAAGAGTTTTTGAAAAAGTAAATCCATAAAGAAGTTATAAAGGAGATATGTATGATTTACTGAAGGGGATTCACAGCATTTTAGATCCTGAAAAGCGTGTATGTTGTCGTGTTGCTAAAGGTATACTATGTGTGTGAACGCTTATTGCTCAAAAAGCAAAAGTGTGCATGAGCGTGATGTGCGTGTGCGTAGAAGTCAACTGGAGGTGGTTCCCCGGAATGGTACCGGAAGTCGTCCGCTGAGCACCATAAGCGCTGGCGGAAGTCTCGGTCGTGGAAGTCGTGCTCTTCATCTTCAACATCACCAGAGTTCCCTTTCAGCACTGCACATGGCATCCAGTAACACAGTCGATAGACGAAGATCCAGTTTCAGGGTAATGTTGAAATTCTTTTTTTTCTTTTTCCACTCTCTCTTTATCTCGCATCCAGCTTCCGTAATCTATCTCAAGATTTTTGGATATCAAGCACTGAGTAAGAAGATGAACCTAGCAAAGTGCCCTAAACGTTAAAATGTCCCAATAAAGTTAAAGTCCTTCTTATATTTGAATTCCCTCTTTTAAAAAGTAAAACCAACTTCAATGTTTTCAATTTTTAATATACCTAGAAACTAAATTATTCTGAAAATGTTATTTGTTTTGAAAAAAATATTGTTCGATGCGCTAAATACTTTGTTCAAATATTTCAATCGAAGTTGCTTCTGGTTCTGGACCTATCAATGCCATCTCGGAACCAGTTGCTGCCAAGACATCTACTCTTTCATTTCCCTTATAATTCCCGAGTGACCCGGTACCGAAATCATTGAAAGTTTATTCACCTGCCTTACATATAACAATACATCTTTGTCCTTTCACATATATCAAACTGGATTGTTGAAGAAAATGATAAATAGGTAATATGGAAAATTAAATTAAGGTTTGAACGGCTATCGACAGTCGAATTTTAACGATTATATTCAATAATAAATATCTATTATATTCCGGAAGCTCCAAAAGAAGTGTTATGGGTTTTAATAGGTCAGGGCTGGTAGCAAATCGCCAAATGTTTATCTATTTGTTACAATTATTTCTTTCATTGGTATGGAAGAAAAAATATAATAAAACTACATAATCATTAATTGCGGAATCCAAAGTATCTGTAAGTAGATTTCCCAAAAGTCCCCATACACAAAAAAACAGTCAACAGAAGATAGAACAAATAACATTTTTCAGTTTATCAACACAAATGGTAATAAAAACATTCATAAAATTTCGTTATAGGAGATTTTGGAGTTTTGATTTTGGAGATGAACTATAATACAACCATAATTCACTTACATTTTCAAATTATAAAATTTTGATTTCAATCCCCTTAGAAAATTAAAAGCCAAGTTTTGTGAACGTACTTTGCCATACAGATATTTTCGAAAAATCTGCTTTATAAACTATTTCTGAACCTAAAAAGTAGATTATCCTTTACCTGACTTTAGATTTTTAACGACTCCAAACAGCTGGATTATAAATTTTGATTGTACAAATTTTGATGAAAATTTAAATTGATGAAATTGATGAATCATTTAAATAGAATTTAAAGCATTCTTTTTTATTGTATGATGAAAAGCAATCTAAATAATAAAATGAAAGCACCGTCTTCCTTTATGATTCTGAGAGACAAATTAATTTTAGTTACTATAAATTTAGACAATCAGATGGCACAATTTAGTGAATATTTTTACGTTATCCATCCATTTTATAATACTTTGCAAGTTCATTGTCATAGCAAGTTTATTTATAAGCTTCATAATCATTGTATCATGTGCATGAAATCGCATGTCATTCTGCTTATTACTTCGCTCGACAAACTACACTAAGCCTTTTGCACGCCACTAACAATGAGTAAAAGAAGTTTATTAGTTTCTCCACTTTCTGCAATATTAGAAAGAAAAAGAAATTGGAACTTTTTTCAATGGGCACAGGTACAAGTTGTTCTTATGTCCTCTTTTGGATGTCCTCTAGACACCTATGTATAATTAAAGGGCATGAAGAACGTGGACCTATGTTCCCGTGTCTATTGACTTTACAATATAAGTGATCAATTTTTTTAAATAAAATTATTGATATACTAAAAATATATTTTTTATTAATAAGAATAATGAGTTTATTATACAGTCGTTGTTAACCACTTCATCGGCAAGGCGTTCCAAATGGCGTTCCACGTGCCGTGACCCAGACTAGCAAAAACACCGAAATGGCTAAATTGAAATTAAATTATTAAAGTTTTTATTTGAATCCTTTACAATTAGAATGAGAGAGAAAGAGTAGATCCAGATGTCTTCAGGGACACTGAAACAAAATTAGAACTTTGTGGAATCAATCGTAGACCCAACAAGCTTCAGTGTAAGGTCGAAGAAATGACGTTGTCTAGCAGAAACAGAGATTGCAGTAGATTTTCCTCAAATTGTCTTCGGACCAGCCAAAGTGAAAGGTCTGGAGTCTAGGTGTCGATGTAAATTAGATAAAACACCCCTTCAGCCTAGGAGTGACCGAATTCTTTATTTGACGTTGATGTCAAGGTAATGCAGTCCTTAGAAAAACAGAAATGTGCCTCGTAGCAGAAATTATCTCCTTGAATGAATTCGACTAAGACGATTCTTGAAGAAGGCACTTGGTACTTGAAAAGGTTTTCTAAACTGAAGTTGAAGAAGAAACTTGATGACAGTACACAACCAGTTAACTTGATGGCTTTTCCTGGACTGACGAATTCGGCAAGGGTGGCACCTTTTATAGGTTCCTTTTGCAAGGAGATACTATGCCATACCATCCACTTCTATTGTAGAACACCATTTGGAACGACTTGCCAGTGAAGTGGTTAAATAATAAAAAGGGGAAATTACGATACAAAAATGACTATAAGAAACTAAAAATGATTCTTACACTATATATGTATGATTTGAACCCAATTCGTCTTAACCCGACAAATAATTTTTATTAAATTTTTATCCATTTAGCAGCACGTAATTGATGACTAAACGTTGAGGATTTTCGAATATTTCATTTTCTTTGTCAAAAGTTTCAGCTGCTCGTTACAAAGTCTCAGTAACAGTCTAATCAATTATAGATTCCACAGCCCAGAATTTTTCTTATCTCCCAATATTTCGGTATTCCCCTTCATACAGTCACTCCTCCCCTGGACATACCCATGCAAAAAAATTTATACTTTCTCAAATAAGGTATCTGATCCTCTCAGACTAATTTGGAATAAAAATTCACGATGAATTTTACTATTCATTAATACACTGACGGATATTTTACTAATCGAACACTGATTCTAGACACAAAAAAACACAATAATTAAATGAGACAATGCTTTTATAGACTTGGAAACATTTAGGTATATAATTAGCAAAAAGGCAAAATAAAAGTCCTTCTATTAGAATAATCTGAAACCTATTTTCCAAAAATCAAAACTGATATCAATTACAATTATATTATACAAAATATATGAAAACATGTATTCTGAAATTGAAAATAAATATGATTTTAAAAACAAAATATACACTGAGATTAAAAATGATTGTGTTAAATATTAAAATATTCTGAAATACGTAACAGAAATTTATTTTCAACTTCAGAATATTTTTTTAGAGAGAATTAAAACATTCTAACTGGAATTGTTCATTAAAAGTAAATTATGTATATACAAAGTTCAAAAAAACACCATAATTTTAGTTTCTAAGCTAAGAATCGTTTTCTACTTTTTAGCCATATTATTATAAAATATGACAAACTTTTTCAATTGCTTATAAAATAAACTTATAATATGTCCAATTTATTATATAGAAGATTGGAATAGTAACATTTAATTTTTTGATAAAGAGTCTTCGAATTAAAAAATTATTTTTAACCACACTAAATTGTATTTTAATTTTCTGGTTAAAAGAAAAAAAAGCGCTTTTAAGAGATTTTTTTAGTGAAAATCTCTCTTCTTCTAAAAAGAGAGTTTTGAATTTAATTATTGAAGATGATAACAATAATTAGAAAATAAGAATAATTAACATTTGGTAAGCAAAAAGAAAGTCAATCAGTGCAAGTTAATAAAAAATATAGGAAAGACTGAATAATATTACAAGCCTGAATCTAAAACCAAGTAGTAAAATATATTAAATAAAAAGTTGAATGAAAATCAACTATTAGCCATGAAGAAGAAATGATGATTTTTAATTTAACATAACCGATTGTTAAACAAAGTAATCTTCTCATTCGTTTATAAGTTTGATATAAATAGATAAAGTTCTATATATATATATTTAACTCTGTAAATATTCAGCAACAGCTTCCTTTCAATTATATATAATGTAATATATAAAATACTGATGTATTTAATATGATCTTAAATATATTGCAGCATAATTATATCGGCATGTATATCAATATTGCATTAAATTCTTGTCAATTTGAGACAGTGGAACTATGATTGATGTAAATATATTGTGTAACTTCAATGTGAATGGTGTATGGGATTTTAACTAACCTATTCTCATCCTTAATTTAGGTATCAAATGTTATAAAAAATATTTTCTAATATTTTCTAAATTTTTATCAATGTTTGGAGGATCTCTCCTCTGCTTGAAAAGAACCGACTCAAAGCTTAATTTTTAATGACCATCAAAAGGTAAAGAATTTATCTCATTATTAATTTTGAAAAATCTTTAGTATGGCCAACTAAAATAGGTGTATTAGATGTTAATTATCAAGCTCATGAATTTTTAGATATTTTTTCAAATGACCCTTTTCCTGTTCCTTCTGACCCCCCAACAGTGAATAATATCGATAATATATTTTTCATTGACATATCACCAGAAGATTTGATCGAAAGCCTTTCGAGGATAAAAACGAATGCAATAGGACCGGATGGCATTTCCATTATGATGATCAAAATTTTGCTCTTCCTATCATTTTCCCTATATAACAACTCTCTCCAAACAGGAAAGTTTCCAGATACTTGGAAAATGAGTTCTATCCCAAAAGTTAAGAACCCAAAGAGTTCTAGTGACTTTAGACCTATATCCATTATTTGCGCTTTGTCTAAACCGTTGGAGCAAACTGTATACAAGCAATTGACTTCTTCTCGTTGCAAATGATTTAATGGAACTGTTACAATCTGGCTTTAGGGCGAAACATAGTACATGTACTGCAGCTTTAAAATTTACTACTTATATTAAGTTGGCAATAGATCTTAAACATATTACGATAGCTGTATTTTTTGATTTCTCTACTAAAGCATTTCCTACAGTTAATGACAATTTACTATTACATAAACTTCCTACTTTTAAAATGTCAAATTCAGTCTGTAATTGGTTTGAGTCGTATCTTGATTTTTGATTTCAAAGAGTTGTTGACGGCAACGGCGACCATTCAGATTGGAATAGAGTGTTATGCGGTGTTACTCAAGGGGCATCGCTTTCATCATTACTTTTTAACTTGTTTTTATCCGATCTTGGCGAACAAGTTAGTTTTTGTAAATACCATAAGTATGCTGACGATTTTAAGTTATATCTAATCTGATCCGTTGTCGTCTCCAAAAATTCTGCTCGAAAGGGTTCAGATTGATGTTAATTATGTTATAGAGTGGGCTAAAAATAATGTTCTTGCTCCAAACCCTAATAAAACTCATGCCATAATAATCGGAGCTTCTGGTAATCTTACAATAGATGCCATTATGGCATTTACCTTCCGCTGTCATTTCATTTCAATATTTCCGTATCCTGGGTGTTGATGACACCGGACCACCATTACTCTTCTTTTAATTGGGCAACACATAAAATCAATTTTGGATTTCTCCAGCTGTTCGCTTCTTCTTGCTTGGTGACTACAATGTCAAATTTTAATGTTGTGTTTTTTTGCTCCAAGGACTATCATCTACCTTCTTCCTGATGGCAAAATCTAGCCAGGATGGAACCTGAACCGCCTCCCTTAGAACAAATGTTATTGCATTGCCAAATGGCAATCCCATGTCAGCAGAGAGCGTGAACCCGAAAGCAAAATTTTATTATAATAAGATAACTTTTGACAATATGAAAGTGTTTTATCTATCATTAGAAAACAGGGTATTTTTGTGTTAAACATTTTCAAAGTGTTCAATAAGGTGTTCAAATAAAACTTGAGTTCAAAGCACTACAAAAAAGCCAGAGGTAAATTTTTAGTGGCGAAAGTTATTTCTCTCAAAGTGTTCCTTCTCGGAAAAGGTACTTTCAGTACAGTAAAAATTTAGTGTAATTTTACTGCTTCAAGTACGAGTAATAAAAAGGACTTATGCTGCAAGAAATGGATTTACAATATATGTAAAAGTAATATTCAACCGACAATCACACTACTTTAACCTACTTTCACACATAGTATAAATGCACTAAATGTAGCGTAGGTTCTTTAATTATTACCTAACATGTGACGTAGCAAGATTACACTAAGTTATTTGGAGTACATAATTATAGCTTGCTCTGTACTAAGTTCTTGTCCTGACAACTTAAGTAAGCTTATAGTGCTTAGTAAAGATAATAAATTCTGTTTTTTACGGATTGCCTGACGGGGCAAATTGTCGCCACCATCTACTTATTAAATTCATCAGCTTCTGTATTATTTCATGTTTGACATTTATTAAGTTCCACTAATGACATACCTAGTAAGATATTACTAACAATTATTAGTCAACAAATTTTTTACTGGTCCCAAACTATTGCTAGAACAACTCCAATATAATTATCTGAGTCATCAAAATTAATTTAATTCACAATTCATAAAAAGTAACCACAGCCGTTAATCAGCAGAAGATGAAAAAGTATTTTTTGAGCCAACTTTTTGTTTTATTTGTTAACAGTTGTTAATAAACAAATTTTTTACTGATCCTCAACAATGACTAGAAACAAAATGTTCTCAAAAATCTTTAAAAAACAGTCAGAATTCCAGTAATTTTTTTAAATTCCATACTATTTCTAGGTTTTTCATATCTTTTTTCAAATTTCCATACCTTTTCCAGGTTTTCCAGGCTCTGTGGCAACTATCAGGATTGCCACAAATATTTAATTTTATTTTTCCCTGACTTTTCCCTGATTTCCAGACTTTTTCCTGACTGATTTTCACTTTTTCCCTGACCATAAAGAATATTTTGATTCACTCTCAAAATTATTAGATACTCAAAAAAACATTCATACATTTACTTACGAATTTCTCAAATTGTAAAATTATTCGCAAACATCAATAACTAAATTTTTAAATAAGTATTTAATTATTATTTTCCCATAGGAATTAAAATTCTTCAAAACATTCAAATTGAAACATTTTTAAAATTAAGCAACTTATAAGAATATTATTATAAAACATGAAGATATCAATTACTCCGAGTCTTCGACTCGGAGTGATTGATATCTTCATGTTTTATAAAAATTTTAATTTCCATAAAATTTTTCAAAAAGAAAAATTCAATTATTTTCATAAATAATAAAATTCTTCACATGGTTTCAATTATTTTTAATAAAATTTTAAATAAATTTCTCGAAAAATGAAATTATCTTCAAAAATTTTTTGCAAGAATTAAATTAGGTATATTTTGCAAATAATAGAATTCTTCGCTAAAATTAAAAAATTTTCAAAATTTACATTTTTAATACAAGTTTTTAAAAGAATATAATTATTTAAATAAAATGTAATAAAATTCGATGCAGGAATTCAATTATTTTCATAAATAATAAGATTCTTTACATTAATTCAATTATTTAAAAAAAAAATTTGAAAAAATTCATTGCAAGAATTCAATTACTTTCATAAATTAATAAAATTCTTCACAGGATTTCAATTATTTTTAATATAATTTTAAGTAAATTCTTCGACAAATGTCACTATTTTCAAAAATTTTGTTAAAATTCTTCGAAAGAATTCAATGATGTATTTTTAAAAATTCATGCTATAATGCTTTTAATATTCAATTATTATCTAAAATTTTTAACTAATATTCATTTTTAAATCAATTTTTATTGGAAAATTCTACAAGAATTCAATTATTTAAATACAAAAATATATAATTTATTGAATAAATGAATGTTTCTCGAAACTAAATTATCATAAAGAATTTTATCAACAAATTTGAATTTTTTCAAGAAATTTTAATCAAATTTTCAAGAATAATTAAATTTTTCGAGGAATTCAATTAAAATTGTATTTTAAAAGTAATTGAAATTCTATGATGAATTTTATTATTCATGAAAGTAATTGAATTTTTGTAGAAAATGTTATTATTTATGAAAATAATTGAATTATTGCGAAGTTTGCTTAGAATTTTATCAAAAATTTTTTTTTGAAATAATTGAATTCTTTTGAAAAATTTTATTAAAACTGTAGATATTGAAAATCATTGAATTGAGAAAAATTTTTTGAAAATAATTGAAATTTTTGCAAAGAATTTTATTAAAATTTTTGAAAATAATATTGAAATTTGTATTTACTTATAATAAATAAAATATTTGCTTCTGCAGTCAATTCGTTTTTAAAAAACTAGTATTATTAGTTATCTTGTTTCAATATTTGAATTAGCACTGATGTGTTACTTTTTGTCATATCTTTTCGTGGCACTATAAATTCTATTATGAAAATAAGATGAAAGAAAGATTTAGTGTAGTTTTCATTACAGCCAAGGAAACAATTGAAGTTGGTGTAGATAATTGGTGTGTATATTAAATATTATAATAAATATACTTCTTGTAATGATTTGCAAAGAAAATATTGAAAAGTATTCATATCCTTATTTGGTCGAGCTTACATCCAGCAAAGTCTTTACATTCAGTTAAATAGTTTACTATTTTATTTTGAAAATATTTTCTAGCCTTATTTCTAAAGTAAATTCTGTTACATTTACATTTCTCTTGCATTTCATTTAAATATTTTTGTTTTTTAATTTTGTGCAATCATTTTATAAGTTATCTCTTCGCTTACTTTTTCATTTTTTAAATAATGTTCCTCTATATTGTCAAGAATATAAATAAATAAATACTTAAGGAATTTTTCTGTTTACAGGGATCATTAAGCAGGGCATTTGGTTTACGACCCAGAAGTGAAAAAGCGTCACCGTCTTCTTCTTCGGATACAGGAAGTCTGGCGAGTCAATATATGAGCAGCGTGCGCAGTAATTCACCGCCACCACCTCAACTTCCACCTCGACCAGCCCTGTTGGGAGGGAAGAAGCATCGCAGAGTAAAGAGCATCGGCGACATTGAATATATGAGCAATAGCATTGTCAGTACACCCGTCTGACAAGAGGGTAGGTCCCAACATTCGGGACCTTATCGAAGCTTGAGCGAGCGGGGCTACTCCTCAGCGTCCTATTCATCTCAATATGGATCGTACTCTGGCTATAGCAATCTTCCCTCCAGCGATTATTATCAGTATCAAAGTTCTGGCAGTGCAGGTTACTATCAATTGCAAGGCGAATATTATTCACCGCAAAGTTCAGGTCCCCCTTTCCCCGGGGTTCAGAGATATGGTAGTCTTGCCGAAGAGGCCTGGCCAATATCAAAAGATGAATCTGGTCTCTTTAAATCAAACTCAAAAACATACTTGGCTTAAAAATTTAAAAATATTTTTAACTAAAAAAACGCGCACTGAAAAGTTAGTGAAATAAAATATTTAAAGCCGTTAAATAATTATAGTTTCAATTATTTTTAACGTGTTAACTTATTGTTGTATCATTACAAAAATTCAGTAACTCACAACTTTTATCATCTAATCCATTTATCGTTTTTGATAAACATTTTTTTTTTAAATTTCTTCTCCGACTTATTCTAAGGAAACATCCTATAGGTATTCTTCAGTACTCAAAAAGTTTATTATATAATTAATTACAGAAATTCTCTTTAGAGATTGCTAACAGAAAATCTACAAAGAGATTCTTTGAAGAATTTCCATAGAATGTATTCTACAGAATACCGCCGCAAGTGAATTCCTGATTTTTCTTCGAGAACAATAAAGTTCCAGTGATATGAGAAAACATTCCTTAAAAGTTTAAAATAACTTCACGTTAATTAATTGCTAATTTATTTTCTCCCCGAAATTAAATGAAATACTAAAGCAAAAAAAAGCCAAATTGCAAATTTTATGAAAACTTTTCGTGCAAAATGTTAATGAGAAATATATTCGAATTTAATGAATTGAAAAGAAGAAGTAATCATTGTCATTTATTTATTACTTTACAAAAACTTTACTTATGTGCAGGGGCCGTCCCCGACAAGACATGTCATGAAAATCAGTTCATGACCGAAATATATTTATTTAAAATTGCACAGTAGTTTATTATTATACTTTCATATGCGCAGTAGGCTACCACTACAATTAGTCATGCGCAGTAGTCCAATTTAGTAGTAATTGCTGCGCAGTAGTTTATCATAACACTTGGACATGCGCAGTAGTCTAATTTAGTAATTATTACTGCGCAATAGTTAAATTTAGTCATTATTACTGCGCAATAGTTAAATTTAGTCATTATTACTGCGCAGTAGTTTATTATAATACTTGGACATGCACAGTTACAGACTTCACACTTTCTTAAATTGAACAGTGGTAAATCGATTTCTAAGGATTTTAATATTTTGAATATGTTCATGTCAATTTAAAAAAACAAAAAAGATTTCTCAACTTTTGAAAAATTGTTCTTCAAATATTTATAAAAATAATTTAATTCTTGCGAAAAATTTCATAAAAATTTTTAAAATAATTGATTTCTTTCGACTAATTTTATTCAAATTCTAATTCAAATAATTGAATTCCTGCTCGAATTTCTGAGAAATTTTTATTATTCATAAAAAGAATTGAATTCTTACGAAGATTTAAAAAAAAAAATTTTTTAATAATTGAATTTTATTTGGAAATTTTATGAAAATAGTTGATATTGAAAATCATTGAATTGTAAAAACTTTTTAAAAATAATTAAATTTTACAAAGAATTCTATTAAAATTTTTAAGAATAATTCAATGTGTGTGAGTCATTTTATTAAATTTTTTTTGTAAATAATTGAATTCCTAAAAAGCATTTTATTATTTATGAAAATAATTGAATTCTTGCAAATGATTTTATTAGAATTTCTTAAAATAATTGAATTTACAAGAAAAAATTAAAATTATTATTATTAATTTTTTATTACTTTTAAAAATAATAAATTTAATTCTTGTGATAAATATTGTTATTTATGAAAATAATTAAATTTTGCAAAGAATTTTATTAAAATGCCTCAAAATAATTGAAATTTCGGGAATAATTTTGTTATTTATCTTTAATAATTGAATTCTTTCAGAGAATTATTTATGTAAATAATTAAATTCTCAGGTAGAATTTTATTAAAATCTAAAAGAATAGTTGAATTATTTAAAAAAATTTAATTAAAATTGTATTTAAAATAATTGATTTCTTTCGAACAGTTTTATTAAAATATTTGAAAATAATTGAATTCCTGTGGAAAATTCTAATAAAAATAAATAAATAATTGAAAATAAATAATAAATAAATAAATAAATAAATAATAAAAAATAATAAAATAAATAAATAATTGAATTCTTCCAAAGAATTTAAAAAAAACATTTTTTTAAATAATTGATTTTTTCGAGGAATTGAAATTAAATTTTCAAGAATAATTACATTTTTTGAGCAATTCCTGTAAAATTTTATTAAAAATAATTGAAATCCTGCGATGAATTTTATTAAAATTTTCAAAAATAATTGAATTCCTGAGAAGAATTTCATTATTTATAAAAATAATTGAACTATTGCGAAAAATTTTATTAAAATGTTTAAAATGAATTGAATTTCTGTGAAATATTTTGTTATTTCTGTGAAAATAATTGAATTCTTCATAAGAATTTAATAAACATTCTTTTAAATAATTAATTTTTTCGAAACATAATAAATTTTATGAAAATTGTATTTTAAATAATTGAACTCTTGTAAAAAACTTTATTTGTGAAAATAATTGAATTTTTCAATTAATTAATTTAAAATAGTTGTAAAAATAATTGAAATTCTTCGATGAGTTTTATTATTTATGAAAATAATTGAATTATTGGTTAGAATTTTATGAAAAATTTTGTTAAAAAATTGAATTTTTATGAGAAATTTTAATTAGTGAAAGTAATTGAATTATTGTGAAGAATTGTATAAAAATGCTGTTAAATAATGAATTTTTTCGAAATTTTTTTGAAAATGCTAATATTCTAAATTAATTGAATTCTTGTGGAAATTTTATTATTTATGAAAATAATTGAATTTTATCAATTTCTTTTTAAATAATTGAATTCTTTTGTGAAATTTTATTAAAATACTAAATATTGAAAAAATAATTTGGAATATTTTTTGAAAATAATTGAATCGTTTTAAAGAATTTGATTAAAACTATTATAAGTTTTGAGAACAGTTTTTTAATTTCTAGTATTAGAGAATTTAAAGTAGAGAAAATTCTCAAAAGAAAACAGAAATAGTAGCTTTTAGTTGCTGAAATTTAAAAAACAGTAGTAAATAGTAGGTTCATTGGATATGCGCAGTAGAAGTTAAGATAAATTGCACTACTGCGCATGCCCAAGTTTAATGGTAAACTACTGCGCAGTAATCACTACTAAATTGGATTTCTGCGCATGTCTTATTGTAATGGTAGCCTACTGCGCAGCAGTAAATAATAAATTACACTACTGCGCATGTTCGCCATATTAGACTTAATATTAAATTTTTTATAATAAATTTTGTGCAAAAGTCATTTAATGAACCAGGTATTTTTTGGGCGACATGACACGACTTATTTATTTCGGCACGGCCCCTGTTTATGTGTATTATTTGTTTTTCGTTTAGATATTTATGCAAAAGAAGTAATGCTTCTAAAATTAGATTTTAATTAATTAAATATGAATTTTAAATTATAAATTTAAAAAAAAATTCCTAGTAAATTGAGAATTTTTAAGGAATTTAATGCCTATGTGGAAAGTATTGTGAAAGGGCGCTATTTATGCATTTCTTATAAGTCTGACTGTCGGATTGACAAGAAAACAATAATTTTTAAAATCGATAATATTCTTCCGTTAATAATGAAATTGTGAACGGTGGAATATTCTACATTCCTATATTTATAGTTAGATTTTAGTTTATATGATCGATCTTTATTAAGTTCGTTAAGAGCGACATTTTTTCTTTTTGAAATAATTGCTGTTCTATTGTTGGTATTCTAGGAAGACAATAATTTATTATTTGTGAGAAATTGAAAAATGCGTTGACATACATATTTTGTTTTTGTCAAGTTCGATAATTATGTGGTATTATAAATGATTTCGGTGAACGTAATTTTGGTACAAATATATGATGATGGTATCAAATATATCATCAGAAAAAGTGAGGCAATGAATTTATTGAGTTGTTGTAGAAAAAAGTAATAGATAGGAAAATGAAAGAGAAAATTATTGCGATATTGATTCCACGAACTGAATATCAGAACAAATTTGTTATTTCGCGAATAGTTTTTTAGATAATATAAAATAACGAAAACTCAATTCTCAACAGGGTTCCACTTTTAAATTCTAGAAAAGATGTTGACAATGTACGATATTAGTGACGGTAAATGTAGAAGAAAAAATTTCATTTTATTAATTGGTTTGTCCAGAAAGTAAAAAAGTTTGGGACCATTTGAATATTAACGGTCTCAATTAGACCTAAACATTTTTTATTTTAATTTTTTTTTTTTCAAAAAAAACTGATTCATTTTTGTTCAGTTGAATTTTCAATATTCTTGACGAAGGGTTTCATGATTTGCGAATAAATATTGAATTTACAAATATTTTCCTGTTTATACATAAAATAATACTGCCGACTTTTGAAGAAAGTTAACTACAGAAAAGTTAAACAGTTTAAATTTTAACAGTACTGCCAAAACGTAAAGAAATACAAACAAATAAAAAATCCAAAGTTTAAAATGTAACGTTCCGCTTGTAAAGTTTTATCATTTTTAAAGTAAGTTTGACGAGAGAGTTGTGACTATTGATGTTGGTAGAATAAATGATCATTTATTTTACCAAAATCTATTAAACTATGAAAGGCTTTAACTCCAATTACTTATTAGTTATGACTAATTACCGCATTTAGAAAACACGCGTAAAACACTGAGACTATGGCCTAATTACAAATTTTAATTAGAATTAATTAAATTATTTTTCTTAACAACTTTTCTTATAACAACTCCTTATGATAATAATAAAAAAACATGATTTTTATCAAGAGTGTAGATGGACATTCTTTAAATGTACGGCAGAATACATTTGTTTGTTTTTTTTATTTGCAAAAAGATAGCAAAAAGATATTCTTCGTTTTTCAAATTTTGTAGTTAATTTCCCAATTTATCAACAATTTTAAAAATAAAATAGCTTTAAAAAGTAGGTTGTGAAAAAGTTGACGCTCTTTTGTTACAGAAATAAAAATAACCATTAACAATTTCTGCTTTAACGACTGTTCCATTTCAAACTAAATAATTATTAAATTTACAATGAGTCTTCTTCACCCACTGCCTCCAAAAATATTTTTCTATACCTTACATTTACGCTTTCGTTCTCACCATCTTATTAAAAAAATCTATCTCATTTTAATGTATAAACTTCGTCAGTTTTTCATGAAAATAAAAATGTAAAATGAAATATTTTAGAACAAGTTTGAAAATAAAAATGAAGATAATAAACAATCAATGAAATACAAAATTTAATAAATGGAAGAATGAAATATTATTCATAGATTCATTGTTCATTGTAAATATATAGTATTATTGAAAAGAAACGTTACATTCCACTTTTGTTGAATCTGATAGCATATATATAATATAAATTATTAAATGAGAATAGAAAAACTAACAAAAATAAAAAAAAACTCGAGAAAAATATGTTCAAGTCGAAAATATATTTTATTTCCATATAAAAAATGCAGGCTCGAATTTTAGATATTTATGCATATTAATATATATAGATATATAACACAATACAAATCTAACAAGCATATCAAAGATATTCATTAAAATGAATTTTGATACTGATGATTTTTATGTTAATTTTTAAAACATAATTACTAAAAAAAAATTACTGCATTTGGAAAATAGAAAAAAAATGTTCAAAAATATCTATAAGAAAAATTTAAAGTTTCTCTAAAAACGAACCTGCAAAACGTGCTTCCGTATGTGTTTATATTTAACTTCATATTTGACCTGGACATTCAAAAGGAACACTCCCGAAGGTAACAAGTCCATATCTGAACTTTAAAATGTCTCAAAACTCGCAGATTACGAAACTGCAATCAGATTTTAAAAATCCAAAATGGCGGATGCAATATGTCAGACAAAATTAAAAAAATTATTGTTTTTGCTTGAAACTTGTTACACGGGGGTTTCAGGGCTCGCTGATTTCAAATCTGACATCAAATTTCTTAAATTCAAAGTGTCGGTTCTAATATTGAAGAATTTTTAAAAATATATCGCCTTCGCTTAAAATTTGTTACACGAAAGTTTTTGAGGTTATTGATTACGTATTCGGCATTAGAGAAAGTAAAAATCGATTTTTTCGAAAATAATATTATTCTTTTCTGTTCAGGTCACATATATTATATCTCTTCGCAATTCCATGTCATGTCACTATATTTATATTACATTATCTGTTTATCGAAATGAACAATACATATGAAATAATTAAAAAATATTAAATTCACGTACAATGTGTTATAAGGAAAAAAAAGGAGATCAGCGTTAACATTACAATCACTACCACAATGTATTATTATTTATAAAATTTCTATTTAATAATAATGGCGTAATCAGATTTATTTAAACTAAAATCGAATAAAGAATTCCAATATACTTTAGAGAAAAGATATTTTCATCTAAAAAAGGCAATCGTTTCAGCCCAACCCCAAATTAATGTCGAGAAAAGAAATATTGCTTAAAGAATTTGCTCAGAAGAAAGATGGATATTTAAAAAATATATATAAATATTCAGTTTTTTGTCGCATGATATATAAACCTTGTTGAAATTTATATCATGGAAAATTGAGATATTGTAAAATTAGTAAATTACATTTATAAATTTTCTTTTTGATGTGCAACTTTCTGAAAAAATGATTTAGATAAGAAAATGATTTTGTAGATAAATTATTTAATTTAATATATTAAAAGAAAAAATAATAAACATTCTCATTATTTAAATGCAAGGAATAGTGAGAAATATGCGGACAAATTATAAAATAATAATTTGATGTTTCGTAATTGATTGATTAAGAAAAAATATAATCTGCGGTATTATCGTCTCACTTTATGTAAATAAATAGACGAATGAATACGTGCATTATATTGGCTTTAGCCTAAGTATAAATTATTTCAATGAATTTACTTCAGGTTTAATGTTTATATTTAAATTAAAATTGCAATGTATAATAAATTATGAAATGCGAAAAGTATACAAGCGCAGGGTTGCTTTCTGTGTTCCCCCTGCAAAACGAATCCCTTTGTTCTGCTTGATAAATAATGTATATGTATATACGTAATTGTGTGAAATGTACGTAATATATATAAAACGAAAAATAAACTATTGCCTTTAAATTGATTTCCAGTGATATTTGTGTTTAATGTACATTTAGATACCTAATATATATTTATCTTTATTTAATCAGATTGTAAATTTATATTTACTTTCAAAATATCATTCACTAAAAATACCATGTAGGCAAGTACCTAAAAATCCTTTCAAATCTCCTTTATTTAAACATATTCCCCTAATTAATCAACAAAGTGAAAGGTCTGGAGTCCAGGTGTCGATGTAAATAAGATAAAACATCTCTTAGCCTAGGAGTGACCGAATTATTTATTTGACGTTGATATCGAGGTAATGCAGTCCTTAGAAAAATAGAAATGTGCCTCTTAGTAGAAATTATCTCCTTGAATGAATTCGACTAAGACGATTCTTGAAGAAGGCACTTGGTACTTGAAAAGGTTTTCTAAACCAGAGTCGAAGAAGAAACTTGATGACAGTACACAACTAATTAACTTGATGGCTTTTCCTGGACTGACGAATTCGGTTCCTCTTGTAAGGGGAACTACGTCATATCACCCACTTTTATTACCTTTGTATCAATTCTAGTAAAATTTAACTCCTGTATCAGACAAATGGTTACCCAATAGGGTCACAAAATACAGATGACCATATTTGGTATCTACTATCCAAGTAAAGACTTCAAATCAATAGTGCTCTGATTACAAGAAAATAAGGATTTAGATTTTAACTTATTTATTTAAGAAATAATACGATTCCATTGAATGCTTCTTTTACTGTTAGCAAATATATTTTATATGCTCACCTTTTTTATTCGACCATTCATCAACTATATATTGTTCATGTAAGTATTGATTTTTATCACTCAGTCGTTTTAATAAAACTCTGAAGAAAACGATAACTCCAAGTAAAGGTATAAAATAAAAAAGAACTATATTCTTTTTACGCTTCTATAGCAAATCTCTACTTGTCAGAAAAAAAAGAATTTTTTATAGAGTTTATATATACACACTTTTGGTTGATAGTTGATTTAAAAGAACATCTTCGTCGAAACGAGTACGATTAGATACTAATGTACCTTTAGGTCATATCATGAACTTCAGTATATAACTGTAATCATTTCGACAAAAACGTCCTTTTAAATCAACTGTCAACCATAAATATACATTTAAACTATGAAAGAAATTCTTTCGCTTCTGAAGAGCATAAATGTTATCCTGAAACGTAAAGAGAATTATTTTTTATTTTATAGCTTAACCCAGAGTGATCGTTTCCTTTAAAGTTAATTTTCCTAATGCTTAACTTCAATGTTCTTCTAAAATAAAAGATCGTGGCTTTTAAAATTCTGGTGCATTGATAACTAAAATTAGTTATGACTTTGCAGCTACAAAATTAACTTTCGATACGTTTGAAGTTTTATGATTATTTAGATCTAGAAAAACTGATTTATGAATATAAAAACTGGACCTTGGGGATTTTAATCCAATCGCAGGTAAGACCAACGGCCCAAAGGTGATAACTCATGTACATTCGTAGGCATTGTATAAGTATGAGAGCTTCCGACTTTTATGAGGTCATCTCGTTTAACATTAATTTCAGAATTTGGGTTACCAAAAGTTGCAATTCTTGCTGTAAAAAATAGTAACATCTTTGTTTTAAGTTATTTATTAATAACTACTTTATTAAACATGTAAAATTTAATAGAGGCAAATGATAAGCACTATGATACAGAAACTTAGGCTATGTTTCTCAGGTCTCAATATTTAAACCCGAATTTGAAAATTTCTAGGTACTTTTATTGACTTTCAAAGTAACAGTTTCCTTTAAACCGACGTAGAAATATAATGTCAGGAAAACTTAGTACACCCTGCACTAAACAGGTTTTAACTATTTCAACCTGCACATAAACTGAAGGAAAGAAATTCATAGTGCAAACTGTAAGTCTTAAGGCGCTTCCCACTATCTGATATTATGTTAACGCTATACATATAGTCAAATGTTCGACTAAACTTGATATGTGGGTTACAAATTAAAAATTTTAATAATTTGCAATTACATAATTTTATTAGTAATAAATAATATTATGCAGTTGTTCTAATATTCTGTAGCATTTGATTTTTAAAAAGAATCAATTGACATATTGACTTATTCCAAAATTTTTAAAATCGTTATTCCACATGCATCAACTTTTGTACTGTAAATAAAAATAACAAAAAAATGCATAAATATCTAATGATTAATCAAGTGAAATATTATTTATTAAGTACTGAAGTTTATTGTCTAGTTTTTATAGATAACGAATCGAATGGTCTATGATTTTTTTTAAATCGGTTGACAAGTTTATAAAAATTGCTATAACTATTTTCTTTTTCATATTTCTTAAAACATGTTTTAGGATAGTACTTTCAGGTATATTTCTCCGACTGCAACTCTTAAAAAATTGATTTTCGATAGATTTTCTTCAAATTTTGAGAAAATGTTTCTTCGGCTACCCTTTAAATGTGGTAAAAATTTCAAAACCCTTTGCCATGTCAAAAAACGAGATATTGTGGTTGACATTTTTTATTTTTAACATAATCGCATTTAAAAGTTAAAGTTTGAACTTGAGTAACTCAAAATTTAGCATTGCAAAGGATTTTGAAATTTTTATCCGAAGAAACATTTTCTCAAAATTTAAAGAAAATCTATCGAAAATCAATTTTTTTAAGAGTAGCAGCCGGAGAACTACCTTAATGTTACTAAGGAACATTTTTAAACAAAGCCACCATTTTTTTCAAATCATTTAACAGAAAGTTTCTTTAACCCATTAATGCCCAAATGTCAAAAATTATTTTTAACTTGATTTCAACGAAATATTTTAAACATTTAAAGATCAGATAATTTTCCGTCAATGGGTTCTAGGGGGTATGGTGGATAAAATAGTTGGACTATCAAACTATGAACAACAAAACTTTCAATTTCAAGATGGCGGCCTCAAAATGGCGAAAAAGTGACGTTATTTGATCCTTAGATGCACACATTATTCTATTCATTTAAATTTGACGAAACTCGGTACTCGGGGGTTTTTGGGGTCGCTGATTACGAATCTGAAGTCCGATTTTAAAAATTCAAAATGGCGGACAACTTTTTAAAATATTCTATGGATTAGTATAAAATTTGGTATAATTTATACGAATCCATAGAATATATTTATGAATACATTATACATTCATTTATCACTATATTTTAAAAAGTTGTCGGCCACATTGAATTCGCCATTTTGAATTTTTAAAATCGGACTTCAGATTCGTAATCAGCACCTAAAGGCGCACTCACAGCTAGGAGGCAGCAATACAAATTTGAATTTACTGTCTCTTTCACTCTAATTGACTTTCTCTCTTACTCCAATTACTGCCTGCGCAGGCAGGCAGAGCTGTGAGTGCTCCATAATTTGGCACATCAAATTTTCTAATTTTACTTTCTGACGTCGTGTATTATCTTGGATTTTCAATTTCTTGTGAGCAAATGAAAAAACAAAAATTTAGGATATCTGTCTTTTTCCCAATTTTGCATAAACTGTCCAAATTGGGAGAAAAATCCTTTTGAAATTACATTTACGTTAAAGCAGTCATTTTTAAAAGGCGCACTGTCTGCAATTGCGCAACACCGTTAAATGCTCAATTTTAATCAAATTTTTTAAAAATAGATTTCAGTTTAAAACTTTATTGACTAAAAGTTAATATTAAGATTAGTTCTTTGTATTATGAAGTATACTTTGAATAACTTTGAAGGTAGGTTCAAATCTAATCTAATTTTTGACGTAACTTCACAACGTAAAAACTTTACTGCGTAGATAAAGATTATACGCACTTATATTTGAGATAAATTTCTCTGTATAACTTTAACCGTTAACCTTAACCCGTAAAAATTGAAGTAAATTTACATCATCTTATCTGTAAATCAAAATCTGTTGTATTTAAACGACACACTTTCCTTACAGGTCAAAAAATAGGTAAAATTTAACCTCAATTTTGATGTATCGTAACGAACGACTATTTTGGACCTTCTATCAAAAAAAAGGTAAAGGGGTTCTAAATTCCAACGTAACGTAACGTCAAATTTGACCTAAATGTTGACCTTGGGTAACGACAATTTAAAGGGTCCTTATGGGGACTGTTTAAAAAGTGAAATTTAATAAAAATATAAAAGACGAAAATCCTCTCAATTAGAAAGAAAAACTTTTGTGCCCATATATGTAAGAGGAAAAAAATCATGGAAAAAATGCTACAAAAGAAGAGGAATCCTCTAAAATTGAAAAAAAAATTTCGGTGTACGGATAGTTAAAGCGTAGTTCACATTTTTTTTATATTTACAAATATGTAAATACGCAAATATGTACCTAATTATGTAAATAAAAAGGTATGTAAAAATATGTAAATACACAAATATGTCAAATAATAGTTGACACCTTTAGGTGTCTCTGAGGTAGAAAATACGATAAAAATAAAAAAATTAAAATTTCAGAGATTAACCAATATATTAGAAGAATTACACTATCTGCTTATGTACATAAAAAACATATAAATAACTTGAATTGAACCAATGATAGTACTGCCAAATATATAATCTTCCACTTATATAAATGTTTAGTAATTAAAATTTATAATTTTATAATCTAATAAAAAGTAATATTAAATAAACAAAAATTTATATTCTTATTGATTTATCTACAACTTTCTTATTGGTGAAAAGCACATAATGTTCAAGGTTTATTTAAATGTAATAATTTATAAAATTCAACAGACTTTTCCAGAGGCGCATTTGACTTGAAGATTTTGGTTTAGTATAATTATAATAAGACAAGAAAAAGTATAATTAAATTTATCTTCTGTAAAACAGCCATATTCGATTGACATCAACACTGTATAAGTGTATATACTTTCTCCATGGTAATATATTTAAACTATAAAGAAGTGTATATAAATGTATTTGTAACTTTAATGAAGAACATAGATCTAATTAACATATTATTAAAAGCAAAAATCAATATTACGAGAAATTGAATTTCCAAAATTTTTTGTAGCATTTTGTCTATTTATGTGACTGGCAACGGTTAGAATTAATTTTTCTGAAATGTTTTAATTTTTATAAAAAAAAATTTCATTTTACAAAGGAAGAGAGTAGTCTGGCAAAGAATGCTTCCTAAAGACCCATATTTCGAAAACTTTTAAATTTTGATAGAAAAGTTAAAAAAAATTCCCAAAAATTGATTTCAGCCGTTGTCCATATACTTTGTCAGACTCTTCCCATATATTTCAGAAAATTAATAAAATTGAATAGAAAAGTAAAATATTTTGGAAAAATTGAGTATAGTCGTTGCCCATACAATTTACTTTATTGTAAAACAAAAAATTGAATAATATAAAATTAAAAGTAATTGACTTGTATATTATCAGCCTCAAGAAAATAAAAAATTCTTCTGATTTTAAAAAATTTGTTTTTTCAGGAATAATTTCTAACAACAGACGATCATTTTTTTTTTCTTTCGATAAAGAACATCACTGATCAACCATGCTTAGACTTGCAATAATCTGCATTCTAAATTTGCTAGTCAATGGCAACATTTACATGGGCGAAGAAATGCGTTTAATGGATTTAAATGCTTCACTTTTCAACGCGGAAAATTATATGAACAATCAAATTATAAATGAAAATTCGGCAATTTTCTTTGGCAATCCAAGAGCTGGAAGAAGTACACTAATTAATTATTTAATGGGCAATCGATTGAAAGGTGTAAGACTTTCACATTATTCTCCAATAGAATTGATAAAAGCAGAAAATACATCCATAGGACCGGAAATTGGTATTGGATCACTGTCAACAACTAAAATCCCTAGTAAGTGGACATCGCAGAAATTACCAAATTTGACTCTCTGGGATATACCTGGGTTTAAAGATAATCGAGGACCAGTGCAAGACATCACGAACTCTTTTTATTTCTACCAGTTGGTGAAAAAAGTTAAATCTCTAAAAATAGTTTTAGTTGTCGACATTCACGACATTGAACAAGATAATATTAACGACTTTTCTTCACTTTTAAATTCAATTGAAAATCTTTTCGGGAATAATTTTAAAAACTATTTCGAAAGTACATCAGTAGTTTTTACAAAGGTACGTCAATTAGCTAGTAATGGTGAATTAATTGATAAAGAATACGTAGATTATCATTTGGCAAATTATTTATTACTTGACAGTGGACTTAGAGAGTCTGAGGTTATGAAAAATTTTACAACATTCATTTTATATAATAATGACCGTATTGCCCTATTTATGAGAAATTCAAAACTAGGTATTGTTAATAATGATCTCGGTGTTGATATTTTTTCGACACTCAATAACTCTAAATTTATAGAAAGCAGTTTCCTTCAGGGTGTACGTCCTAGTATTTCAGCTTCTTCTATGCTTCAACTGTTTAAATCAGAAGAGCTAATAGAGTTAGATCTTATGGTTCTGCAGTTAGAAAGAATGCTGAAGTCACTAATAAATATGGAAATGAAAAATTTAGATACTGCCGTCGATACAATTAAAATAAACTGTACCAAATATAAATTATTAGAAATGCAACAAATGCTTTTAAAAACTTTTTCTAATGATAATAATTTACCCCAAATGGCTCAAATACTATCTTCAATGGCTGACGACACATTCGACAAGCAAAAATTCCATAAAAATATTAGACTACTACAATCTGTTGAAAATATGTTAAATATAACAATAAGTAAACCACTGAAGTTCACTATTGATTCTGTAATATTCTCCGCAAGTTTGAAATTAAAAACAGCGATTTCCTTCGCTGATGTAAAATTGGGCGATATAACTGAGAAGGAACACCTTGAAACTTTGAAAAAACATGAAGATGTAAATAAAACACTACAAATGACAAATGATGATATAAATATGTTAAAGGAGTCTGATCTAAGTTGGTGGGATACAGTTGTAGAAAAAATTGTATCTGCTTTTAATAACTTAAAAAATGCAATATTATCTTTTTTCAATAATTAATTACTTATTTTTGTGTAAGTCAAATAGTTGGGTTTGACCACTTTGTTTGACATTATGATTAAATTACGGATACACTATGTAATGTTAAAGGAAAATAATTGTTTTTGCTCTAAATACTGTTACATCCCGGTAGCAAAAATTATTTTCTAAATTTTATTTGAATTAATGAATATTTTTTCTTACATTAAAATCTTAAAGTTATAATGCATTGTGACCATATTTGATTAATTGTCACGACAAAATCTTTATATTAAGTACGATTAATAGTTGTGAGAACAGTGTAAGATAGGAAATAAATGTATTCAGATAAAATTCTTACACCGTCCTTAATTCTCTTAATATCTAATAATCATTACTTTCTTTGAAATTTGTCTGCAAAAAAAAACAATTTTTTTTAATGAAGAAGGACCAAAGTTATGTATTTATTAATATACATTGTTGATAACAATTTAAATAAATTGCATTATGCATTATTATTTGTCTGGTGGCCATACTTAGACTAATTTGAATTTATTTCGATCATGTGCAATGAAAAAATAAATATGATTTTTTACAAAAATATTCCCAGTGTAACGATTTTTGCGTAAATCCAACGAATTATGAATTTTGTAGGTCCGACATCTTGGATCCGACATTTTAAGTTTATTCTTTGCAAGAAAGTGAAGAAAAATACTCAATTGGTAAGAAAGCATAAACATGAATTATTTTTATTTTTGCAAGATATACAAATGTTTTTGAGATAGCTGAACTCGAATTTGATAATAATTTTCAAAATTCAAAATGGCGGATCTAATAAGGCAGACGATATTTTCAAAAAGTTATTGGTTTTCTTTAAAACTTATTACGATAGGGGATAAGGGGGGGGAGGTCTAAAAACCTCAAAAATATGATTACGTAATACTTACGAATGGCCCCAATAAAATGATATTCATCACAAGAATCCAATTAATATCAAAATTAATAAAATTATTCGCAGAAATTCAATTACTTTCTAAAAATCATAAAAAAATTATGTTGTCAAGATTTCAATTATCTTTATATAAATGAATAGCAAAATTTTTCGACAAAATTCAATTATTTTTAGGAATTTTAATAAAATTCATAACAAGAATTCAATTATTTTCAAAAATTTTAATAAAATCATTGCAACAATTATTTTCAAAAATTTTTCTTAATTTAATAATTTGTATATTTATTATTTTAATAAAATTTCCCAAAAGAATTCAATTATTTAAAAGCAATTTTGATAGAATTTCAATTACTTTTTAATATACAATTTTAATCGAATTTTCTCGAAAAATGTAATTATTCTTAAAAATTTTATTAAAATTCGTCGAAAGAATTCAATTTTTTTAAGTTGAAAAAATTATGTACAAGATTTCAATTTTAATAAATATTCAATTATTCAAATAAATTATCTGTTTTTATTAAAATAATTGAATTCTCGTAGAATTTTTTAATAAAAATTGATTTAAAAATTAATTTCACTAAAAGTTTTAGATAATAATTGAATTTTGGAGAAGTTATACTAATTATTGCAATTTTTAGAAATAATTGAATTTCGGTAAAAGTTTCAAATTAAAATCTTTGGAAATTTGTATTTTTCATACTTAATTAACAATTCTATATGGAACTAATTTTTTTCATAAAGTTTAATCGAAATTATTAAAAGTTTTTATTTTCAAATGTATATTTCATTGAAGAATTTCCGATAAATTGAAATTTCGTAAAATTGAATTGTAAACAAATGAATTTGAAAATTCTTAACAGAATTTTGTTTAAAATTTTATAAAAATAATTGATTTAAAGAAGAATTTTATTCAAAAATCTTTAATTATTATAAAACATGAAGAAATCAATCACTCCGAGTCTTCGACTCGGAGCAGTCGCTATCTTCATGTTTTATAAAAATATTTTTATCAATTATTAAATTTCAAAATGTTTGAATATGGAATTTTTGAAAATCATAATTCCAATGGAAAACATTTTTTTTTCTTTTAGTACTCTTTGAAATGAGCTACCTTGATTTTTTTCAAATTTCTTCATAAAGCGGTTCAGGAGATACAGATTTTTGAAAAATGACGTTTTTTACGTAAATATTTTTTTTAAATGCTTATAACTCGGTCAAAAATTGATCAAATTGGACGTTTTCATAATGAAAAGTTTTGTTTTCACGCGTAGTTTTTAATAAAAATATTTTTTAAAAAATTTTAAATAATTTACGATAAGATTTTAAAATTTTTAAAATAAAATTTCATTTTTAACAATCAAAAAAAAAAAAAAATCAATCAATTTTTTTCAAAATTTTTTGTAAGAAACTAGCACTAAATTAACAATTTTTAAGCCTTGTCCGATCGTAGACAAACGATGGGATCTATTTATATAAAAATTTTTAATTTTTATATACGCAGTGGTGACCAAATGACTAACTTGCCATTTGACAAAATCACACAAACTTTTCACAGCAAATGTGTTTTTAGACTGAGACTCTCCAAACTTAACCTTCTTTCTGTGTAAAATTGTGATTTGGTCAAATGACAAGTTAAGCTTACTGTTTTCACTGCGTGTATATAAAAATTAAAAATTTTTAAATAAATAGATCCCATCGTTTGCCCACGATCGGACAAGGCTTAAAAATTTATAATTTAGTTCTAGTTTCTTACAAAAAATTTTGAAAAAAATTGATTGATACATACATTATTAAGAATAAAATTTTATTTTAAAAATTTTTAAATCTTATCGTAAATTATTTTAAAATATTTTTATTAAAAACTACGCGTGAAAAAATAACTTTTTATTATAAGAACGTCCAATTTGATCAATTTTTGACCGAGTTATAAGCATTTAAAAAAAATATTTACGTAAAAAATGTCATTTTTCAAAAATCTGTATCTCCTGAACCGCTTTATGAAGAAATTTGAAAAAAAATCAAGGTAGCTCATTTCAAAGAGTACTAAAAGAAAAAAATGTTCAAAAAAAATTTGAGATGCAAAAGAAAAATAATTTCCGATTTGGCCTGGAATGCCCCATATATTTAAAAAAGAAATTATTGGTGTTTTTGAATAATTTTACAATTGAGGCCTTGGATCCAATAACTCGCTCGACGCTCGAAGGCACGCGCTAATACCAGTCGGGTAGCAGTGAGTGGCCCAGAGGCGCTCACTGCTCACTGATACTGGCAGTTGCGCGTTCCTCCGAGCGTCGAGCGAGTTATTGGATCCAAGGCCTCAATTAAGGAAATTCATAAATATTTAAATGTAATAGAACATTTTTTTGAGTTTCTAATCATTTTTAGAGTGAATGAGAATATTCTTTAGGGTCAGAGAAAAAGTGAAAATTTTGTCTGTAAATCAGGGAAAAGTCAGGGAAAAACCAAATTAAATTTTTGTGGCAACCCTGGGAGTCGATTCTGAAACTATCCCACACCCACTTTCCACTCTCACTTCCCACCTTACAATTTCCACTCTAACTACCCACTCTCACTTCTCACTTTTGCTTTCCACTCCCACTTTCAACCTTCCACTTTCCAGTCTCACTTCACCAGGGTTGCCACAAATATTTAATTTTATTTTTCCCTGACTTTTCCCTGATTTCCAGACAAAATTTTCACTTTTTCCCTGCCCATAAAGAATATTCTGATTCACTCTAAAAATTATTAGATACTCAAAAAAAACATTCTATTACATTTACTAACGAATTTCTTAAATTGTAAAATTATTCGCAAACATCAATAACTAAATTTTTAAATAAGTATTTAATTATTATTTTCCCATAGGAATTAAAATTCTTCAAAACATTTAAATTCAAACATTTTTAAAATTAAACAACTTATAAGAATATTATTATAAAACATGAAGATATCAATTACTCCGAGTCGAAGACTCGGAGTGATTGATATCTTCATGTTTTATAAAAATTTTAATTTCCATAAAATTTTTCAAAAAGAAAAATTCAATTATTTTCATAAATAATAAAATTCTTCATATGGTTTCAATTATTTTTAATAAAATTTTAAATAAATTTCTCGAAAAATGAAATTATCTTCAAAAAATTTTTGCAAGAATTATAATTACATTTCACAAATAATAAAATTCTTCGCTGAAATTCAAAAATTTTCAAAATTTACATTTTTAATACAAGTTTTTAAAAGAATATATTTATTTAAATAAAATTTAATAAAATTCGTTGCATAAATTCTATTATTTTTACAGGTAATACAATTTTTCACATGAATTCAATTATTTAAAAAAAATTGATAAAATTCGTTGTAAGAATTCCATTATTTTCATAAATTATAAAATTTTTTTGAGGATTTCAATTATTTATAATACAATTTAAAGTAAATTCCAAGAAAAATGGAATTATTCTCTTAAATTTTTTGTAAGAATTTAATTACATTTCACGTATATAATGAAATTCTTCCTTGAAATTCAAATATTTTCACAATCTACTTTTTTAATAAAAGTTCTCAAAAGAATTCAATTATTTAAAAAAATGTAATAAAATTCGATGCAGGAATTCAATTATTTTCATAAATAATAAGATTCTTTACATTATTTCAATTATTTAAAAAAGATTTTGAAAAAATTCATTGCAAGAATTCAATTTTTTTCATAAATTAATAAAATTCTTCACAGGATTTCAATTATTTTTAATATAATTTTAAGTAAATTCTTCGAAAAATGTCACTATTTTCAAAAATTTTGTTAAAATTCTTCAAAAGAATTCAATGATGTATTTTTAAAAATTCATGCTATAATGCTTTTAATATTCAATTATTATCTAAAATTTTTAACTAATATTCATTTTCAAATCAATTTTTATTGGAAAATTCTACAAGAATTCAATTATTTAAATACAAAAATATATAATTTATTGAATAAATAAATGTTTCTCGAAACTAAATTATCATAAAGAATTTTATCAACAAATTTGAATTTTTTCGAGAAATTCTAATCAAATTTTGAAGAATAATTAAATTTTTCGAGGAATTTAATGAAAATTGTATTAAAAGTAATTGAAATTCTATGATGAATTTTATTATTCATAAAAGTAATTGAATTTTTGTAAAAAATGTTATTATTTATAAAAATAATTGAATTATTGCGAAGTTTGCTTAGAATTTTATCAAAAATTTTTTTTTTGAAATAATTTAATTTTTTGAAAAATTTTATTAAAACTGTAGATATTGAAAATCATTAAATTGAGAAAAATTTTTTGAAAATAATTGAAATTTTTGCAAAGAATTTTATTAAAATTTTTGAAAATAATTGAAATTTGGAGAAGAATTTTATTATTTTTAAAGATAATTGAATTTTGACGAGAATTTTTTTTAATTTTTGAACATAATTGAATTTTTGCAAAGAATTTGATTTCTTTTGAAAATAATTGAGTTTCTGCAATTCATTTGTAACTTCTCCAAATTTCAATTTTTTCCAGTACTTTTAGTAAAAATCCCTGACTTTCCTGACCAATTTGACTTTCCCTGACTTTTCCCTGAATTCCCTGATTTCCTTGACCTGTGGCAACCCTGCTTCACACTCCAACTTCTTACTTCTATTTCCTACTTTTACTTCCCACTCACACTCTCACTTCCCACCTTCAATTTCCTACTCCCACCTTCCAGTCTCACTTCCCACATCCACTTTCCACCTTCCACTTTTCACTCTCACTTTCCACTCTCACTTCTAACCTTCCACTTTCACTTCACACTCCCACTTCTTACTTCTATTTCCCACTTTTACTTCTCACCTTCCACTTTTCACACCCACTTTCTACTCCTACCTTGCACTTTCTACTCCTACTTCCCTCATTATGTATTTTTGGACTTCCCACTATCACTTATTATCTTCCACATCACTTCATAACTTCTAATTTTTAATTCTTCTTTTCACTTTTACGCTCTATCTTTCATTTTTCATACCTTCTTTACAGTCTCATTTACTTCTCTCACTTTCTACCTTACACTCTTAATCGTTAATCAGGTATTTACATTTAAAAGTGTGAGTGGTGTGTGAGAGTGGAAGTGGGAAGTAAAAGTGTAAAATTAGAGTGAAAAGTGAGAGTAGAGTGAGAGTTAAAAATAAAAAGTTAAAGTGGAATGTGGGAAGTCAAAGTGGGAGTAGAAAGTGGGAAGTGGTAAGTGAGAGTTGAAAGTGGGAAGTAAGAGTGGAAAGTGAAAGTGGATAGTAGGAAGTAAGAGTGCAAAGTGGGAAGGGGAAGGTGGAAAGAGAAAGTGAAAGGTGGAAAGTGAGAGTTGAAAGTGGAATGTGGGAAGTCAAAGTGGGTGTGGGAAGTAAGAGTGGGAAAGTTACAGAATGTGGGAAGTAGGAAGTGGAAGGTTGGAGTAGAAAGTAGGAAATGAAAGTGGAAGGTAGGATTAGAAAGTAGGAAGTGAAAGTGAAAGTGGAAAGTAGGAGTAGAAAGTAGGAAGTGAAAGTGGAAAGTAAAGTGTGAGATAGAAGTGAGAAGTGAGAGTGGGAAGCGGAACGTGGAAAGGGAAAGTGAAAGGTGGGAAGTGAGAGTGGAAAGTAGAAATTGAGAGTGGGAAGTGAAAAGTGGGAATGGGAAGTGAGAGTGGAAAGTAAGAGTGGGAAAGTTTTCAGAATCGAACCCCCGTTGATAAAAATAGTAAAAAATATTTTTAAACTATTTTTCCGTACTTTTGAAATTTATGGAGTTTTTTAAGCAATGTAAAAAATAATATTAAAAAATGATTAAATAAACAATTTGGCACTATTCTTTGAAGTCTTCTGAAGAGAAACAAAGTTTTCTGAATGAAAAATATTAATTTCCAAGGATTCTATACCAATTCTACGAAAAAGTGTTTCATGGGAAAATTTGAGCGCTTTGAGTGATCTGTAATTTTTTTTTATTTTCAAAAAAAAATTAGGGCTTTTTTTTCGATATAGAACAATCCTAGGGGGTGAGAGCCATAAAATTCCGATTTTACTTTTTTTCCCCATTCATTTTTGGACCAGCCTGATTTGAATTGAATTCGGTCTATTGAATTTTTTCCTAAATCTATTTATTAAGAAATTAGGATACTCATCTATGAATATAAAAATGAAAATAATTGACATAATTTGTAAAGAAGTAGAAGTGTGCGACCCTGGTTTCATACTCCTTGACGTATACGCCTGTGAATCCGTTCTCGCGAGTACATCGGTTATAGAGAATGGAGAGAGGGGTTGCTAGTCAGCGCCACTGGACAGAGTCAGTCGCACTCGGTCACCCTGTTGAAGGGTTGCTTGGGTCGCGCTGCTCTTTCCACTTTTAAACAACGGGTATCCACGTTTATCGGGATTAAAGTGAGGTGTAACTTTCACTGTGAATCAACACCAACTCTCTCTCTACATCTTTTTTTTCAGAGAGAGAGAGAAAGAGAGGACTTGAAATTTTTCCCCCTTCAATATATAGAAAAAAAAACAGTAAGAAGTAGGACATTTTCAATATTATGCATTCATGTCCTTTTTATTTTACAATTGCGGAACTCATTCTTCATCCTTTCTTACTCACTTCCTTCTTGCCTTCCTGGACCAGTTTACTTTCTTTAAGAAATCTTTAAAGAAAATTCAACATTGTCAATAATGTCACAATTCTTATGAAGTTTCATTTCTTTTCCTCTTCTTTTCTCTGATTGTCACGACAAAAAAAAAAAAAAAACAAATTGTTCCTTTTTTTCAATTTCTGACATAAAAAAGTTTCGATATTTCTTAAAAATAAAAATTAAAAATGTTTCAAAAAATTAAAAAATAGAAAATTTATTTTTGAATATCTATTTCTTTCTTTTGTCTTGTGTATCGTATCTTGTTGTGTAAAGTCAGTTTTATATAAAGAGTTTACTCTATGCGAAGAAATTTGAGGGCAGTATTTGTTTTAACTTAAAAACTTAGAAGTGCAAACCTTGAACTAAACAGGCACAACGATTTAAGTCAAGTCTAAATGACGAATGAACTTTATCAGACTTTTCCACTTCATTGCACTATTTTGCATTTTCTATATCATACACATTTATCATTTCTGTTTCAGTCAAAATATACCTTTAAAAAAACCCATTAAAATTAATGTATATCTCTTCATATGAATATAAATTAATCTTTCATGGAAATGAGTAAACATTTATTAATCAACTTTCAAGAATAAATAAGAGCTGAAAAGTATAATTAGAATTATAAATTAATAAATTTAATAAATTTAATAAATTTAATAAAGTTAATTAGTTGTAATAAATAATAGTTGTAGGAAAAGTGTCTTCGAATGTTACTTAAATTTCAACGTGTTTGATCCTATAAATCCTATGAATTTTTAAATATATTTTTCCATCTAGAAATTTAATCTCCAATGGATCGTCGAATTTTCTTTTTCTTCACTTCTCATTGCTAGTAAATTTTCGCTGCACTTATGTTTATTTAAAGTCAATTCCCTTTGGGGTGATATTACATGATATTAAATGATAAAAATTTAAAGAAAATCTTTGAAATCCTCCTTTGGCTTTTTGTTTTAAAAAAATTAAATTTTTCGCGAACCGTATAATACACTTGGCACACTTCTCTAGTTACCCCCATTTCTGTTCCTTATAGACCTGTGACGTAATATGTGAATGATCCCTTACATATTCCTTTGTAAACTCCTACTTAGATTCCTGTATGGATTCCAATATATATAATTTTCTGCATTACTGTATATTTTAAGTTAGAAAATATTTTCGAATTAAATTAAATTAATTGAATTAATTAATTTGTTTGTTTTGAAAATTAATTTTTGTGGATTATTGTCATTTTTAATTTTTTTTTAAATGTCAAACTTCTCAACGGTTATAGGTTTATAAAATTTAGGAGCCCATGATTTCACCCAAATTAAAATATTTATAATTGACATATAATTTATCGGAATTTTAAATTTAATAATCATCATTTACTCGAAAGGTATGTGTCTATAATTTAATGTTAACATTATTACAATATTGAGAATAATAGTTAATAATTTTTCTTTGAAAATATTTTTTTCAATTTTAAAATTAATATGAATGAAAATCATTGAATTCTTGCAAAGAATTTTATCAAAAAATTTGAGAATAATTGAATTTCTCCGAAGAATTTTATTATTTGTGAAAATAATTGGATGCTTAACAAGAATTTTATTAAAATTTTTGATAATCTTAATATTAAATTCTTTTGAAGAATTTCTTTCAAATTTTTTTTTAAATAATTGAGTTTCTTTAATAATTTTAATTAAAAATTTTAAAAATAATAGAATTTTATCAAAAAATTTGAGAATAATTGAATTTCTCCGAAGAATTTTATTATTTGTGAAAATAATTGGATGCTTAACAAGAATTTTATTAAAATTTTTGATAATCTTAATATTAAATTCTTTTGAAGAATTTCTTTCAAATTTTTTTTTAAATAATTGAGTTTCTTTAATAATTTTAATTAAAAATTTAAAAAATAATAGAATTTTATGAAAAATTTCTTTCAAGTTTTCAACAAAAATCGTGTTTGTTAATAATTGAAATTAAACATTTAATTACATAACGAATTTTATTAAAAATTTAGAAAATATAATTGAATTTCATTGAATTATTTTATAACCTTAAGAAAAATTGAATTCTTTCGTAAAAATTTTTTTGAAAATAATGGAATTTTTTGAAAGGAATTTATTATTTATAAATATAATATAACTTCTTAAAAATTATTTTCATATTCAATTATAATGTAAAATTTTAACTAAAATTCATTTTTAAATCGATTTTTTATTTTTAGTATATAAAATGCAACTTATTTCGATTTTTATAATGTGCAAAATAACTATAGACAAATGTTTCAAAATTATATTATTTTTAATAAGTTTTTACGATAATAAAATTTTAAAAATATAGGTATAATATTAAAAATTTTTAGAATAATTGAAATTTTTTAAAATTTAATTGAAAATATAGTTTTCTTATAAGTATTTTCATACAATTTTTGACAATCAACTTTTGAAGAATTTTAATTGCAAATTTTTAAAATAACTAAATTCTCAAAAATTTTAATGATAAATCTTCAAGTGGAAATTTTAAAATGAAAATTAATGAAAATCTTCTTGTAAAAATTATATTAAAATTATATTAAAATATTTTACAAAAAACGAAATTCTTAAAATTTTTCTATTCTAATTTTTTCAAATTTTAAATATTTCAATATTTTTAGTTTTAATTTTTCAGACCTAATAAAATTTTGGAAAAAAAATATTCATATTATTTTAAATAAATTAAAGTTCTTTAAAAATTTTATTATTTTTTTCATATTTTTCAAAAATTCTTAGATTTTTTAATGTATTTATCAAATTTCCATTAATTTTAATAGATTTTATCAAATTTCAATTATTTGGAAATTTTTTAATTGTACATTTAATTAAAACACTATTATCTTTAAAAAATTATTTGAAAAATTTTTTTTTTAAATTTTTTAAAAATTAATTTAAAAAATTTTTTTATTAAAATTTTTTGAAAATACTATACCTTAATAACTTTTTTAAATAAACAATTATTATAAAAAATTGAGTTTTTTTTTAAATAATTGATTTAGAGATGAAATTTAGTTAAAAATTGTAGAAAATTATTGAATTTTGAAAGGACTATTTTTAATCGATTAAAGCAACTTTTCTTGCGCCTTAAAGTAGACCAGATCCTATGTAAAAAAGAGGAAATTACATGGTACGGTTATAATTATTATCAACTTATTATTATAATTAGATAGAACATTGATGAAAAAATATCAACATTTAATTTTTCCAAATTTACTCTTTACTTAAAATTTCTTACTCAAGGGTTTTCGGGGTCGCTTATTACGAATCTAAAATCAAAATTCAAAATGGCGAATCCAATATGGCGGACATTTTTTGGGGTCGCCATTTTAAATTTTCAATATTTTTTTGAAAAAAGTATCAATTATTTATGCGTTTGACATTATGTTCTGTCTTTTTGTGCGTCTGTGACTAATTGTTTTACGTTGGCACGGTTGATTTGATATAGGGGAGAGTGGGCTTCATTAAACCGGTGTTTTCAGTGAACAACTTCAATTTTCTGATAAATGACTGAATGACATTTTTTCATTCAGAAATTTTTTCATTCTTTTATATTTAAGTTAGTTTTACGCAAAGAGATTATGTCTGAAATTTTTCGGCACGTGGATTTTTTATTTACAAAAAGTAACTAAAAAAAAGTATTGTTTTTTAAGGAAAAGAAAAAATTTTGTTAAAATATAATGACGTTTTTTTATTGAAATAGGAGATTTTAGAAATTAGAAAACTTGTGATTTATTTCGCTTCGGGTGTCAACTTCAATATTCCAATGTTATAAAAAATTTTATGCATCTCAGTCATATTATATCTACCTATACAGGCGCGTACTAAGTTCTCCCTATATTTCAGCAGTAAATAAAGTCATTATTACCCTAGGGCAATAAAATGTACTTTATTGACCGCTACTTACAGGTCAATAAAGTATTCATTATTACCCTAGGGGAATAATGGCCACTTTATTGATCAGTTGGAGTATATAGAAGAAAACTTAGCATGAACCGGTACAGGTAGCATATAGAGTGATCATAATACGCTTTTGTTGCATAAAAAGAATTTTTTTCACTCTATTAAAAATTAGGTTTAAATTTCCTTTTTAAAATTTAAAAACACAAATATTATTTCGCACATTTGAGTACATCACTAATCTATCAAACGAATTTTTAATTAGTTTTTAAGTTAATAATTTAATTATTTAATTATTTCTATGCTTAATATAAAACAATTGATTACTGAGGATATTTTGAAGTACAATTATTAATTTTTTTTCAAAAAATATATTGAATAGTATAATTAAATGATAAAGTATTATTTATCATTCTTAATTTAATTACGACTTAATTTATATATGCCGAGATAAAAAAATTCGATTTTCAGAATTATTTTTTCATTCATGTAGAAGTTTTTTAAAATAAATAAAATTCAACTATATAATCAAACTTAAGATCACGATTTATATCTTATGAAATTAGAATTACTAAACATAAGAAGAATATCAATCATAATCACGTGTTTCTATAATTCAAATTTTTGATTATAGATAAAAACGAAGTTTTTGTTCTTTTCCTCTCAATATATGCTTTCTAAGGTCTATGTTTTCGTTTATTCAGCAGAAATGCGTATTTTATTGTAAAAGACAATTTATTCTAATAAGATATAAATTTACATATACAAATGAAAATATAATTTTGTACACTTATGTCGTACTTGAATAAGTTTAAAATAATGAATTCCAATTTCACATGGAATCACCCTTATACAAATAAATGTTTTACATTATTTAAATATATAATTATATTTAATTATATATTAAGTAGTTTTACATTAGGAGTTTTGAAGCAGGAAAAGTATATTCAAAGAACTTGTA